AAAATGACCAGATATACATACATATGTAAAAATGAAATTTTAAATGTAGAGCTTTATAAGCGGATATCTACTGAGTGCAACGAAATAGGCTATGTTATTACTTGCTCTTATGTCCTGAAACACGTAACTCTTTCATTTACTTAAGATAAGCGAATAATATGCAACATCCTTAAATGATTCTCTTAAATAAAGAGTAATAATTACCTATTAAGTGTCATAAAACCTAGGGAAAAATTAGAACATCTGATTCAGTTGCCTGAAATGACTAGAAATAATAAACGGTCAAGCTACTTGCTATACAAACAAGTGTGTTCACGAATATACAAAAAATTAAGAGAATATCAGTTTGCAACATCAATCCGCATAACAAGCTGTCTAAAAATCAATAGAAGTCAATGAGACTGGATGTGTTGAGCCAAAAAGATTCTAATGGCTGCAGGCACTCATATGTAAAAAAGGTCAATAGGACAACTAATCAAAGGCAATACTCTTGTAGATTTTGTTTGTCAAGCAATTCCTAGGTAATCTCCTGCATGTGCTTATTACATAAGAAAATAAGACACTGACAGCCAATCAGAACCCCTCCATTTTTAAACAGCAAAGGCATTTATAGATGACAAAATTGAGTGCGACATGGTGGCTCCCAGCAAGAAGGTTGCTGGTTCGAGTCCCGGCTGGGCCAGTTGGCATTTCTATGTGGAGTTTGCATGTTCTCACCGTGTTGTTGTGGTTTCATCCAGGACATGCGGTACAGGTAAATTGAATAAACTAAATTGGTAGTAGTGTATGTGTGTGAATAAGAGTGTACGGGTGTTTTCCAGTACTGGATTGTAGCTGGAAGGGTATCCACTATGTAAAACATATGCTGCAAAAGTTAGCGCTTTATTCCGCTGTGCCGATCCCTAATGAATAAAGGGACTAAGCCAAAGGAATATGAATGAATGAAAACTTGTGAGCTTATAATAATAATAAAAATAATAACAATAATAACTATTTAATGAGCCACATGAGAACATGAACACACTTTTAATATATACAAAAGGGTGGTGATGAAACATGACCCACACAATGTGATGATAAGGTGTTTGAGATGGAGGTTTCCATGTTCACAAATGGCACAATGCCTGGTGAGAGATGTATTTTTAAAGCCGAACTCGTGACAGCCTGCCGAAGTGTTGTTGCTGTGAAGGCAGTCGTGCTCTGGTATGTTTATCTTCAAACACCGGAGCAGTATTAACTCAAACAAGCCAAAAGACGACTCAAAGACTCAAACCAGAACTTAAACATGTCAAAGCACACAGCTTCAAAATGCACATCCCTGAAGTCTGCAGCGCTTTCACTGCCTGCAGATGGACTAGTTGGTGGAAAGAGTGCTTTCCATGTTATTTCTTTTGCATTGTAAATAATTTGTCATGAAATAATCTGTTTATTAGCCTTACTGGTAACACTTTATAATAACTACACACTATAAACCGTTTATTAAAGAAATAGTGAATTCATTATTTATTAACCATTAACTCTACGTTAATAAATGTTAATAAAGCAGTTTATAACTGCAGCTACAAATGCTGTATTCTTGACTTATAAGCACATTTATTATGTGCTTATGATTGTACTTTAATACTTTGTAAATAATAATTTTTCTTTACTAAATAAAGTATCGCATTATTTACAAAGCAGTGATTTAGAAAAGTTGGTGTTTTTCAAAGAACATTCAGCATGAGTTAGTAAATGATTAATAAACTATTCAAATTAACATCTACAATTCTTATTATTCAGATGTATATTAATAGTTAATTATTATGTTAATAAATGCTTTATTAACTCAACTTAAAGCAGTGTTTTAATCTAAAGTGAGGACTATTTATGCTTTATAAATCCCTTATAAATGACAATTAAAGGCTCAGTCATATTCTAAACAGGAAAAAAGGACATAAACAAACTTATTCATTTCTATTCATTTGAAGATACACAAATAAAACTGTGTCAAATACAAAATAAATCTTAGCAACCTTTGAAAATAGAATTTTGAGGAAATAAATTAATTTAATCCAGTTTGGAATAAGGCTGTAATACAATTTTTTTTTAGAAAATGTAAAGCTCTATCAATATCTTTCCAGATGCATTGTAAATGGCGTAAATCACACTATTACCATGTAGGAATTGTAGCCGCATTTTGTGACCGGATATTCCACACACACATGGCTGTTTGACACTATTCTCTGCACCTACTGAGTCAGTAAAGCACTCCACAAGTTTTCTTTATATTCGGTGTGCTGTATCAAATTCTATTAAAACAGCTCTCTCCCATCAGTCCTTACGTCATACTCTCATCCAGTAGCTCAGAGTTTGTCCAGTCAGTTTATAGCAAAATATCTTGCAGTGTTTGCATGTCTTTTATAGCAAAATTTATTAAAATATAAGTAAAATAACATTCATTACAAGTTTATTTAAAAAAATGAATAAAAATCTATTTTTTCTTCATATCTTAGCAAATATTTGGCTGATATTTAAAATTCTATATAAACACCATTTCCATTCATATATAAGCAAATTATTTTGCAGTGTTTGCATGCCATTTACAGCATAGAAATCCTTAAAACAGAAGTAAAATCACCTTTATTACAAGTTGAGTTTAAAAAAGCACCTAACTAGTTTTGTACTTTGTGATTTTTTTTTCAGTTGAATAAAAATCTATTTTTCATTCATTTATTTCATCATTAAGGATTATTAAATCTTATCTCGTGAACCTAATTTAGTGTCTCGTCACACCCATGCTACTATATATACCAGGGGTTTTCAAACTGTGGGGCGCGCCAGCACCTATTAAAGTGGTGCAAGAATTTGAGGCGTGCACTCGAGTAAATTATGATGATGATGTTTATGCGTTACTAGAGGGAATATGATTAACGTAACATGTAATTATTAATGCATTTGAGTAAAACATACACAAATAAAATGGACCAGGTGCTTTTTAAAATAAATGACGGTGAATGATTGAAAGTAAAACCGGTGAACATCTGACAAAAAAGTGCCCTTCTGGATCTTTCACTTACTTTGAGGACACTACTGACTAGGTTAACATGTGGCTCGTTTCCACTGACTGGTACAGTACGGTACGGTACGGTTCGGTACGGGTCACCGTTATCAGGCTGGCGTGCACACAACCAAGGCTAACCTTTTGGTGGGCGTGGTGTACGACAGAAAGCTTCAGTCGATGTAATTTTCGCTCAAGAAAATGTCTACAGTAAGGGTGTACGGGTCACTTACATATCATATGAGAAGCACTTCTCACAAAACAGATGCTTTACACACAAAAACACTTCTGTAAAAATGTTTATTTCTAACTTTTCTATGAACAGGATTTGATTATAACTGCAGATCAATGACAGTGTGACATAGCCTACTGTAACGTCTGTGATTATATAAACTAAATAAATAAATGCAACATATATGAACACATACAGATCCTTACAGTCTCCGATACGTTACCAACTACAGAATAATTACACACAGCAGACATTTAAGTCCTTTTTTAGGTTTAAAAACAACACAAAGTATAGCCTACAGTCAGAGCTAACCTCTCATCTGTGTCTGTAATCTTCAGCAGCACATGTAGCCTCTGTTAGAGAGTCATTCCGTCATTCCCAGTTCATAATAGTCCAAAAGGTGATGATAAAAATTAAAACAAGGCAGTTTGTTCACGTATGCTGAAGAAATAATGTGCTCCTTTTTTTCCGGATTCTCCTTTTTTTTCACGCTTCACTCTTGCGTTTGTCCAAAAAGTTTGTTATTTCAGATATAGATGCGCGGCGAGCGCAAGGAAGAAAGCGAAACCGCTCGCGATTCAGACTGGCTCGTAAAAAACTAAGGGGCACAGGGTAAATCTGCTGTACTTCTTGGCTTTGTGACTGTTCATCAAGACGATGACAAGGTTTGTTTGAGCCCGGGTCGACCATAGCTCGTTATTATGCGTATATGTAATACCGCTGTAATCTCTCGGCTCATCGGCTGTGTATTTTAAACATGGCGGGTTTTTTGTTTTTATTCTGACCTGGCCTGCAGTTTCGTGTAATTTTCTGTGTTTTATCTTAAATTTTTTTACTTTAACTGCAGTTGGGCAGTTTAACTTTCAATTATGAACCTTTCATTCATGCCCCCGTGACAAACTGGGTTACTTGACATGAATATGAAGTAAGGACTGGTGGAAGAGTGTTGTTTTAATGGAATTTGATACCGCACGCCAAATGGAAAGAAAAAAACTTCCGCATTTCGTGATGTGTGTGTGTCCTGCATGTCAGTAATAGTTTAATTGGGGTGTTTACTTCAATAATGCCACTAATATATCCATACTCCTTAATTCCATTTCTGTTTAGTTCAGTTATGACTTTAGTCGGATTAGGGTAATCGCTTTTTACATGGTAGACTCTTAATCAGAGTATTGTCTTAATTGTATTAAAGTATTAATGCCCATGTAAACATACTCAACGTTTGACTCAACCACACCGTCAGGGCTCTGCGATCTTGGCTTTGCGAAGCAGCATTTTCTGTATGTACATATGTATCAAAGGCTATGGCTCACACTTATTGACAGTAGAAGAGGATTTACAGTTAGTCCTGTCAGAAATCCAACCACAGATTAGCATGTTGTCCTCACAAAAACAGGCTCAGCCATCACACTGAATCAGGTAAAATGTGCATTTATGTTTCAATGTAATTGAGACTTTAAACACAGGAAGTAATATGTGAATGATGTTTGCACATACATTATATTTCTGGTTGGAGGGAGGGGTGCCTGGTGGGGCGAGTGAAATTGGGGCAAACTTGGGAGTGGGGCGGGGTGACTTAAAAGTTTGAAAACCCCTGGTGTATACCATAGTTTTACTGAAAAGCATAATTTAACCTCTACATCTGTTTATAGAGGGGGATTTGTAATGATATTTCAGTAATGACTATGTTTCATGAACAAAATTCTCTTATGAATTATTTTAAAAGCTTACCTTGATCCTGTACTTCCTCATCTCTCTTGGGCTCCTGAAGCTCCACAGCATCTAAATGACAAATAAGCAAATGAGAATATTAAGAAAAACAGTGTTTGAGTTACCCAAAAACATAGCAACATTCAGTGATTCCACAAGCTATCTGTTTCAACTGCCTACATGTAGAGTTGTGTATGAAAAATCTTGAAGTGTTTGATTTTGTACGGTACCTTTTTGAGGAGAAGATTCATGCTTCATGGACATCATATGGTCTGGCCTGACCGGGATTGGAATATTGGCCTCAGAAGGGATGTTTCTGAAGAGCTCACTGCTGCCATCATCTCTGCAGTTCATGTAAGGCACAGCATGGGTGTTGTCCATGTAGTACATGATGTAGAAGTTACACATCTCATCGTTGGAGGTGCCTCTGTGAGGAGGAAAACAACGAGATGTGAACAAACTATTAGCAAAATAAATTTTTTTTAAAAAGTACAGCTACAAAGCAGCAAGTATAAAAATAACCAACAGAACAACACACACACACACACACACACACACACACACACACACACACACACACACACACACACACACACACACACACACACACACACAGACAGACAGACAGACAGACAGACAGACAGACAGACAGACAGACAGACAGACAGACAGACAATCAATCCTCTAAAGCTTATGACTCAAATCAGAATTTCAGGTACATTTCAAGCATTTTCCAAGCATGTATAATTTAGAGTAACCTAAATCCATAAATTTAATAGGGCAGATTTGATTCTCTTACTAATTGTTTTTTAACTTATTTTTAAACTTTTTAAATCACTAACGCAGTTGACAATAGCAGAGTTGACATTTTCCACCATTTTGAGCTCTAGCTCAAGATACTAACCTAAAACTTACATTTACATTTAGTCATTTAGCAGACGCTTTTATCCAAAGCCACTTACAAATGAGGACAAGGAAGCAATTTACACAACTATAAGAGCAACAATGAATAAGTGCTATAGGCAAGTTTCAGGCCTGTAAAGTCTAAGAAGGAAAGTATTAGTAATTTTTTAGTAATTTTTTTTTTTGTAAATTTTGAGTACATTTTTTTTGGAGAACAGTTAGTGGTATATCCAGAGAGGCAATTGCAGATTAGGAAGTGAAGTGGAGACTAAATATTTGAGTTTTTAGTCGTTTCTGCCGTTCTGATACAGTTAGGGAGTTCATTCCACCAACTGGGCAGATTGAACGTGAGCGTTCGCGAAAGTGATTTCTTCCCTCTTTGGGATGGAACCACGAGGCGACGTTCATTCACAGAACACAAGTTTCTGGAGGGCACATAGATCTGCAGCAGTGAGAGCAGATAAGAAGGAGCAAAGCCAGGAGTCGCTTTGCAGGCAAACATCAGAGCTTTGAATTTGATGCGAGCAGCAACTGGCAGCCAGTGCAAACGGATAAGTAGCGGAGTGACATGTGCTCTTTTAGGTTCATTGAAGACCACTCGTGCTGCTGCGTTCTGAAGAAGCTGAAGAGGCTTGATAGAGTAAGCTGGAAGCCCAGCTAGTAGAGAGTTGCAGTAATCCAGTTTGGAGAGAACAAGAGTTTGAACAAGGAGTTGAGCTGCATGTTTAGATGAAAAGGGTCGGATCTTTCTGATGTTATAGAGTGCGAATCTGCACGATCGAGCAGTTCTGGAAATGTGGTCAGAGAGGTTTAGTTGGTTATCAATCGTTACTCCAAGGCTTTTCACCATACCACTTGGTGTGTCTAAAAGAGAATTGTATATATTTTCATCAAATTTTTGTGTTTAAAAAGTAAATAAGGGGGGTGACGCAGTGGCGCAGTAGGTAGCGCTGTGGCCTCACAGCAAGAAGGTCGCTGGTTTGAGCCTCAGATGGTATTTCTACGTTTAGTTTGCAAGTTCTCCCTGTGTTCGCGTCAGTTTCATTCGGATGCTCCGGTTTCCCCCACAAGACCAAAAACATGTGGTACAGGTGAATTGGGTAGGCTAAATTGTCCGTAGTGTATGTGTGTGAATGAGGGTGTATGGATGTTTCTCAGTGATGGGTTGCAGCTAGAAGGACATCCGCTGTGTGAAACTTTCTGGATAAGTTGGTGGTTCATTTCGCTGTGGTGACCACAGATTAATATAGGGACTAAGCTGAAAAGAAAATAAATTAATGAATTAATGAAACTACAGGGCTTGTTCTGGGATTATTTTTGAAGATCGTGAGAACCGTCTATATGTAGGACCAAGAACTCAAAATGAATTCATGTCTATGTTCTTGTGTACACACTTCGCTCCCAGATGGATGGTTCTTAGTGACAAAGCGCAGACTTTAAGTCAACAATCATCTTTATCTTGTGGCCTTGAGTCGGCTGCGTAGGCGGTGGTGCTGGGCTTCCTGGGAGATGCGTCAATGCACTATTATGAGCTCTCTCTGTCACCATAGTAACAGCAACGGCAGGGCAGAGGCATATATACATATATACGTCCAAAGAGTCATACTCAAACAGGATATGATGAAACGGAGACATAAACATAGACCTGCACTGTTTGTTTAATCACGCTTTAAACAACACACAGAAACACACACACACAGCCACCACCTGTCTTACTGCGAATCAGATAGACATTCAGCAGGAAGACAGGTGATCAGAGACACAGCAGGATCAGAAGTCCAAAAACATGCAAACAGAGCGAAATGTCAACAGCAGGAACACCACCACTCATCAAACACACTTACTGCCACAGTTACTCTACATTGGAGTGAATAAAACAACACAGAAAGTAGAAATCTGACATCAGTTGCACATTTTGAAAGGTTATTAAGTATTTGCAACAGTCATACATGTATTACTGGTAAGAAGCTATAGAAAAATAACCAAAAATATCAACTGAAATCGTTTTTCCATCCAGCTGTTTTCATTGTGCAGGTGTGAAGCGCCAGGTTTTTGCTGGGTTTTTAACTGTATTTTACCATTCTACACTATCAGGGCTCGAAATTAACTTTTTTCTTGGTAGCACCGCTACTACACGTTTTATATTAACAGATTTTTTGCATTTGCAATTACTCTAATCAAAACTAACAAATAAACAAAAATCTGTATGCGCTCACTGGCCCTGCATGCACTGCTTGACGTGAATGAGATGAACTGATTATTAAATTAACAATAATAACTGTGCTGTTCTCATGTCTTGACATTGCACAAATGATATTGCCATATAACTTATTATTTGCATACGTCATCTCAATAGCAATAGCCAACCCAGGCTCATTTTGAAAACGTAGCCCCGCTGACGTTTCTGAGGACCGCGATTTACGTGGCCGGAGGTACGTATGGCCGCATTTTGTTTTTTTTCGAGCGAACGCTACGGGGCGGTGTGACGCTGCTCCTCTTCTTCGTGCTTGCCGACTGATGGCTCACCTCTGTGAGGAGGGCTTTCCCGCCGCAACCAGTTTGTCCGCTTAGCTTGTAGTGTTACGTTGGCGGAGCGGAGACCTGGAGAAGGAGGAGCCGGCCGCGGCGACAACCGGGTTTGAGTACGGGGAAGAGCGGTTCCAGAAATCAGGTAAGATGAAAAACAGAATCCAAATAATAAAAGGGACGAGTTGGCTGCGAGGCGAGAATGCGGTGAAATCCGAAAACGCTGTTAAATATGGATGAAGGCTTTTGCTTTTCTTTTCTGGACGGCTTTTGTAAATCGTCGCTTGGGTTTAGGGAAGGAGGAGGAGGAGGAGTAGGAGGGTGGCTGGGTCGAACGGCACTTGAATTCAGTCAGTCGGACAGACAGTCGCTCGACAGCGGCCTCCGGTCTCTTTTCACGTGAGAACAGTGCGGGCGCGAACGGCGCGCGCTCCTGAGAGGCGTTCGAGACGTGAAAAAGCACGCACAGCAGCCTCTCGCAGATTCGCGAAAACAAAAACTGCACAAATACGTACCTCCTGGGACGTATTTCGTGGTCTCCAGTAACATCCGCGGGGCTACGTTTCCACAATAGCCGCATTTCCACTATCAGGCCAGTGTGAGCCAGGGCTTATATCGGGCCAGGCCGGGCCAATCGCCCGGGAGGTTGAGCAGTGAGGCCGAAATCATGTCGCGTTTCCACTGTGGGGCTAGTAGCTCGCAGCGCGTCACGCAAACCCCGCCCCCAGAACATCCCCCGAATCGAACGTCACTCAAACCGCCCACTTCAGCGAGAATCATGCAGATAAAGCACACCATCACATCATCACGAAACAATTAAAATTAGGACAACCAAAACAAACAAATGACACGTTACTGTACAGCAGTACAACGCATGTCTATACGCACATGCCTGTGTGTTTTCATTCATCATATTCATTTACTCGCCGACCGACTATTGGCATCAAAATCCAGTGGTCTTGCCACCAACGGAGGGACTCAGCGCAGGGAGCGCACACATCCATAATATAACACCACATATATAAAATCATCCGTTAATAACTTGATATAAAATGTGTTTTATAACATCCTCTAGACAGAATCTGTCCAACATTCATCCCAAATGCTCCAGAGAGAACTGAAACATGATTTTTTTTCCCTATAGGCTTTACGACACTTAATAGATGATTCCCTTTATTTAAAGATGTTGCTTATTATATCTTAAGTAAAGGAAAGTGTTCAGTGTTTCAGCACATAACAGCATCACGTAATAAAATATAGCCTATATTTCGTTGCGCTCAGCAGCAATGCACTAATTAAGCTCTTTATGTATTTAAAATTTCCTTTTTTAATTTTACCACGTTATATAAAAACATACACACTTGTTTGAGGACACAGAACACATTTTGAACTTGCAGTTTTCCCCGTCAAAAAAGTGCTGCGCAGCTGGAAGACAGAAAAAAAGGTCGCCTATTTCTGCTTTCACTCACCCCGAAAATGCTCTATTTGCATGATTTGATTAATTTCATCGAATCCAAATACTTTATAAATAATATTTAAAACATTCTCCGGTGTTTATTTATTTGTTTATTTATTTTTTTAGAAAATATCTAAAATCTTTTTTTCAAAGAGGCTTTTGAAAAATGAAAGTTAAATATAAATTTGAAACAGTTTGATATAGTACCTAATTGGTATAGCTATAGCTTTTGTTAGTTTTATATTGGTTTATTTATTTAATGTGATTTTATTATAGGCCTATCTGATATTTGTAATTCTTTAAATTATTTCAATATAGGGCTATTTTATCTAGATATGACATTATTGTTTTGAGCCTATAAAAGTGGACATGAAATTTGTAAAGTTTAATGTCTTACTGTTGTATTTATATAGTGTATTATCACCAAAATAAATTAAAACAATAAAAATAAAAGATAAAAGCCGCTCGCGGCATCAACAGAGCTATAAATGGAGCGCTCTTTTCCTCGGTCTCACACACATACACAGACATCTAAACGCGCAAAAACACACTTATTAAACTTGACAAAACCTCTTGAAAACCTTTACTGTCAGCTCTGTCTTTAATATGGTGTAAAGATTATTATGCGTTATTGAAACATCAAAGATGCTGCAAAGAAAGATCATATTATGCAACAGCCTTACATTTAAAAGAGAAACATAAGGGCGATCATATGGAGAAAAAAAAAAAAAAAAAAGACCCCAGCCTATAATTTGTTTCAGATGTTTTCTTTCTCTTATTTATTTATTTGTTTATGTGTTTGGCGCATGTACTCGAGTGCGATCGGAAAACTGTGCCCGCCTCTCCTTTCACTCCGCCCCGAAGCCCCAGCTGGCCCTCTTTGGCCCAAGGTATTCGGCGGGCCGAAAAAGGCCGGCCGCTGGCCCCAAGAAAGCCCCGCTTTGGCACGATTAGGCCCCGGAAGTGACAGTGGAAACGCCACTGGCCTTGGCTCGCCCTGGCTCGCTCGCTTTAGGCGCGATAGTGGAAACGCGGCTAATGAGCCTGGGTTGGCAATAGCGTTCTTTTCATATATGCAATATTAGTTTCATCTCTGAGAATGCATGCTCTTTAGCGATGGTGAACGCACGACTGACAGCATCGTGACGATTAAATAAAGGATTAAATAACATTGGAACATCTTGTGTTTAATATGTGAAGATTCAGTGGCAAACAGTTACCTGAAAACTCCGTCCCACCAACTTTGTAATGGATTTTCATAGTGGACTTGTATAGTCTTATATTATACTTTCATAGTCAACCCGAACTTCTTTCTGAAAGACCAACGTGGCCTTGTATGCATGAACAGAAAGATTGTCTCTGAAAGGACTCCTGCCAAAAATGCTGAATCAAAACTTTTCCAAACCCTGAATCAATATCGAAATTACTTTTGCATGCTGGAGGGCAATGACATTATGCAGTTCAAAACAACTATCTGAAGGGTGACACAAGTATTTCTTTAAGACAGGTATGTTTTAAAACTGTATTTTAGCCACGCAAAGCTTATGTAGATTGTGTTCTTGTTTTTGAATGGGTTTATATGCACGGAAGTGTTGTTCAGCTACTGAAAACGTCTGGCAAAAGATTGGCTATTTTCGAGTTCATAGAGAGCCTTTTACAGCATCAATAATATAGTCGGTTAAATTGACATAATTATTTGTATAGCTGTTCAAGTGAAAAAGGAGATGTACGAGGATCAGCGAGCACAACTGAAACTGAAAAGTCACTTGTTGTCTTGGTAATGTAAACATAAGTAAAAAAAAAATGTAAAAAAGATGACCGGATATTTCTGTTTTTAGCACTGCTTTTTTTTTTAACAAATTTTTATTTAGTTCAATAACAAAACATAAGTAAATGTGTTCTTCCACCTAACCAGCTTTACTGAGGAGAAATTAGATTTTTATTCACACATTTGTTCATTTCTGAACAGTGACAGCCTGTAACAGTTTTGAAGATATAGTTGAATATAATTCCTGCACCCGCTAGCCTGTCAACAACTGCGCTTGATAAAGTGTGTGTCTACATCAGTTTTATTAACTGGTGAATGACATGATCTACTGTTATATCTAATCAGTAGGGCCAGCCGGAATCTGCGGACGTGTTTTTGCTATTTCTGCTGAGAATTTTGGTAAAAGTCGGCAGAATTATTTTGCGAGTATCATACCTAAAACCTTGATATATGAAATAAAAAATAATATATATTTTTTAACTTTAATGTTTAAACTGCACATCCAATTAGATTCACTTTCTTTGGTAAACAAAGCACGTTTGCCATTTAATATATCTAGTAAAAGACAGAAAATATTACTGTACACACCGCGTTGTACATAAATCAGATGAACATTTTCACATTAATCAATATTATTACTGAAATTAATTAAAAAACTGAATATAGACTTACACACATTTACTTAAGTAAATAAATTAATGATGAGCTAAAAATCTGCAGAAATCTGTGGAAAATCTGCGTGCGCAGATTCCGGATGGGCCTACAAATCAGTGCGCGTTTGCGAGTTTATGATTTAAGGAGGCGTGGCTTAGAACGGCAGGGGAGGGTCGTAAAATTACAGCTAAGTACTTTAAGAATCTGAGAAGTTTAATTTCGATGCATCCCTTACTGGTAATAACATGAACTTACCCAATTTGAGTTGTAGTGGTTCGTCCTTCCCCTGTGAACACGCAACGGGCTGCTAGTATGTCTCCATCTTTTACATCAATTGTGTTGGTGGCTGGATAAAAAGCCTAAAAACAAGAAGCTTGTTTATTTATTTAGCCAATTAATATCATTATGTTACATTCAAAATACACTCACAAATACACTCAATTAAAGAAATCTACTGCAAGACACGTTGACAATTAAATCAACTTAAAAACTTTAGGCTTTAAAACATGCATAATGAGATTGTAAAAGTAATCCATACGAATTGAGCAGTTCAATCCAAGTCTTCTGAAGAGAGAGGATTGTGTAGCAAGCAAGTTAAAATGTTTAAAATTAAATGTAGAATTTGTTTTATTTTGGGGGAACTATTCCATTTTCAGTAATACTTTAAGGCTAACATTAAAAATTAGAATAACATTTTTTATTTTTTTTTGCACAGTTCTACACAGACTTATTGCATGGGAACATAACATTGGTAAGACTTTATTTCAATGGTTCCTGCTGCACATTTTGTTGCCTAAAGTTCAGGGCTGATAGTGAAAAAAATTCCTGAGCCTGAACTTTTTTTCCTTGCCCCTGAGGTGAGTAGTGGTGGGGGTACTATGTATGCAACGCACTTTTAACACATAACTTGTGGGCCCCTGGGCCCAAATATATTAACAGCCTATGTGTAACCCTGATCATCATTATTGTCAAGTGGCTCTTTTTAGACACATGCCAGTAATGTCAGTGACACATGCCAGTGTCAGTGATCTTGTGACATGTGCCAGTAGGTGTCAGTATAAGCACGTTATAAGCACATTAATCTTATAAGTCTCTTTGCTTTAATATTTAAAAATCATTAGGCAAATGACACCTGTTATCTTACATGCATATATGTTATGAGTTTTCAACATGCATTTTATTATAACTTTTTAAAGGATATTATTTAAAATACCTTAAAATGAAAATAAGTTAAATAATAAAATAAATGAATGAATTAAAAACATAGAGAAGTCCGTATTGTAGGGAACAAAGGAACTGCCAGGATGCAATAATATACAGTACAACAGATAAGTGTAACCCCTCCCATACATAAGCATGCCACAATAAATTTGACTGACATGTACTGTCAAATGACTATATTACGTACGGAAGTATGACTACGAATACATAAAATAAATGCGTTTAAATTAAAACATCGTGGAGTAGCTCAGCAAATAAACTAACTTGCGACGCGATAAATTAGGTTAAAAGTCGCGTAATGATTAAATATGGTTTTGCTCGTGTTAATTAATGTCATAAGCTTCGCCGGGTGTCGATGTCACTGCAGTAAGATGCAGCGCGACACTCTGAGTGACACAGGTCACTACACATGCCACTAGCGAGTGACACATGACAGTGGAAAACCGGACGTGCCACCGGAAGTGTCACTACACTCAGTGGCATGTGCCAGTGTCATCTGTACGTCAGATGTCGTGTCACTCCATGTTAAAACTGCTACTGTGAATCCGCGTTCAAGCGCACACAATAAGCTAAAACTCGCCCCAAGCACCGGCAAAAACAAATAACAATGAATGTGTCGAGGAAAGAGTAAGGACATATCTTAATTATTTATTAATAAACTTATTCTGAGTCAGTGTCGCAAAGATCCTGACTGGCAATCTCCTCTTGGACTCGCCTTTAGAAATTCATCTTTACGGATTACATGAAGGAGTTTTTTTGTTTTCGATTTGTTTTATTTCGTTAAATAATAATTTAAAGCTTTCTATAAATATATTTATTATGTCTGTGAGGCATATACATTTTGCTTCATTTTGTTAAGCGCTCCTGTTCAAAAACCAGACGACAGAAAGCGCATAATTTTGGTTTTCTTTATTTTATAAAAACGCTTTAAAGTTTTTTGATGTATTACATGTACTTTGTGAGCAAAAATGACGGATAACTTTAAATTGCTCCCACTGAAAAAATGCAAGTGATTGCTCTGGCGCCTCGATGTCCTGCAAGCTTTTTATAAGCAAACTATGCGCCTAATAGCACACATTCTTTAACGTTTAAGCTACCATTGTTTTATACTTGAACTGTTTTATATCTTTTATTTTAGGCAAGTCGTGATGATCTGAGAAGGCAAACTGATCAAACAGACAATGATGGTCTTCCGCTGGGCGCTGTTCGTTAAAAAAAAAACTTATCTTTAACGAATAAAAACTGCTCCAAACGTTTTTCTAAATAAGCTGAATAAAAAACGAAACTAAATATAAACACTTTGCCATTAGGCTACATACAAAACTGAACTATTTCATAGCTGAAACACTAAGTTGTTTAAGGAGAAGGGGGAAATATATTTTTGTCCCGTCTATTGCTTCACCGTTATTTCGAGAATAAACCCAGCGTAAATATGCAGATGTCTGACTCAGAAAACGAAAGTTTCATACAAATTCTGAATGGATTATAGCCTGGACAGTGCAAAGCACGCTCCTCTTATTATCACTAAAAAGCGTCACTAATCTTAGTTCATAGAGATCTCACAAAGATCCGTTATAATTTATAAAGCTCTCTAAATTACACAATTAATCTTTAATTTACATGGCGTCTACACTCAAAAGATGATTCACGAGCACACAAAATGGCATTTAATAAAAACCAATCCGGCGCTTTCAGCAGTGAGTGAATTCTGTGAATCTAGAGAAATGACAGATCAATATCCGTGAACCTGATTTTTTTCCCCGCAGCCACAGTACGCCGGAAATCCGGCGTGGTGCCGGAACGCTATCACCCCTGAAAGTTGCAAATGCAGATTTCAGCTCTGGTGGATTAGACAGACGCCTCCACTAGCCACTTTGGCTGGTTGCAAATAATTTGTAATTTTTTGTAGTTTTCTTAAAATCAGAGTTCGACAATAAGGATGGCCCAGTGTGATCTTAGAATCGAGAAGCAGCACTACGGACAAAAATAATTGCGTTCAGGCGAGCAAAAGAAAGCAGGTGAATACCAGAAGAGAGAATAATCACTCGCGCCAACAGCTGATGTGATGTGCGAGACTGTTTAAAATCGTGCGCGCTACCGTTTCCTTGCTTGAAGCAACCATGCTTAAAAGAGCAATTGGTGTGATCGGTTCTCTTTCAAATAAACTAGACAAAAAGTGATGCTCCTGCACCCACAGTCTTGCTACTTTCAAGAGCAAGCACCGACTGCTTTCGCTTTAACCATTATTTGAACAGATTATTACAGATCATCCTTTATCACACACGGTATGTTTTTCACCTGCTTTCTTTTGCTTACAGTTATTTTTTGTTAATATGGTTCAATTATCATTTTTTACATTGGTAAGACTTTATTTTGAATAGTCCTATTGCACATTTTATTGCCTAAAGTTGCATTGAAACAACATGCCAAATAATTCTCAATTGAGTTTTAGTAGACTGTCCGCTTAATATCTTATGATATGCTCCTTCAACAGACATTTAACTGACTATGAGAAACTTTGCAGGCAGGGTTGAACATTAACACCCACCAACCCGCCAAAAGCGGGTAGATTTCAGCTTTGGCGGGTTAGACAGACACCACCACTAGCCACTTTGGCTGGTTGAAAATAATTTTTAAATTGTAGCTTTCTTAACAGCAGAGTTCGACAATAAGGATGGCCCAGTATACGTGCAAATGCGATCTTAGAATCGAGAAGCAGCACTACTGACAAAAATAATTTCGCTCAGGTGAGCTAAAGAAAGCAGGTGAATACCAAATAAGAGGATGATCACTCGCGACAAACAGCTGATGTGACGCGCGTGACTGTTTAAATGCGTGCGCGCTCCCGTTTCCTTGCTTGAAGCAACCGTTCTTTCCTAGGACTTTTAGCCAGGACAAATTACTGTGCATAGTTTAGATTAATGACGATAATTATTTTTTAAATGTCAATAGTTTTTTTTGTTTGTTTCTTTTTTTTTTTTAAGCTTTTGTTTTTTATTCGTTTTAACATAACGGAACAAACAGATCACCAGAGGCATCACATACAATTATTACATTCTTCCTATACAGTCGTTTTTATAGTACAGGTTACTCTCCCATTAGCCCCCACCCTAACCCGTCAGTAAAAGGTACTGTGTTATAAGCATAAACACCAACATAGTTTCCTTCAAGTCCATATGATTCAGTCTTTTACAATCTGTAATGTGCGGTCCAAACTAAATATTTCACATATATAATATACATATATATGTACATATATTGAAAAAAAAAATTATAAAATATATATATAAATAAATATAAATAAGGGGAGGAGGGGGGTTCGCACTCATTGCAAAGCATTTCCTAGCAAATTATATATTTTCTATATTCTTATATATAAACCATTTTGACCAATTTTTATAGCATTTATCCATGTTTAGTCGTAAAGAAAAGGTGAGTTTCTCCATTTCAAACATATTATCTACAATTGTTATCCACTCATCCTTTGTTGGTGGAATCTCTTCCAATCATTTCTTGGTTATTGCTTTTTTACTAGCAACTAATAGTATTTTGAGAAGGTATTTGTCTTGTGCATTAAAATCGGTTTGTATGTTTCCTAAATATATAGTACCAAAGCTATGATCAATCTCAAAACCAAGTATTGATTCAATTTCAGTGACCACCATTAACCAATAAGATTGGATTGCTGGACAATTCCAGAATATATGATAATAATCAGCCATAAAATTGTTACATCGTCTCCAGCAACGTGCAGAATCTAAGTTACCATTCTGTGAGTATTTCCTTTTTGGAGTAATAAAGAATCTAATCATATTTTTCCATGAGAATTCTCTCCATTGACCAGAACTAGAGGTAGTATGTTGTGTTTTACAAATATTTGTCCAATCTTCTTCTGACAGAACTATGCTCGCCTCCTTCTCCCATTTCTCTTTAACATATATTTGTTTGTTTCTTTTAAGAAATGTTTTGATAAATAAAAAGTATAGTATACAGCTATATTTTGCTTGTTTTGACATATTTAAAATTTGTGGCTAAGAAATAATTATTTATTTATTTTTATTGTGGTTAGAGACAAATTTGCTAAATCCTTAATTTTGAGCTCTGAAAGGTCATGTGAAATAAAAACTAATTGTAATACGACACTATGAAACCATTAACCCATTTACTCATGCTCATTGAGCAAGCTCACACAAAAAGTGAAATGAATGAGGAGGCATGTGGACATAACACAAAATCTAAATCAAGTAATTTTAGCATGTCAAAGTCATATTTATGCATATAAAATATATTTTCCCAACAACAAAATTGAGGCTAGTGAAAATGGCGAGTGGCTAGAAATGTTGGAAAACTACTAGCCACACTGGCTGGTGATCAAAAAAGTTAATGTCAAGTACATGTCAACTTACACTAACCCTAACCTAACAGTCTACTTATAATTTGTTGTGAATTAGTTGGCATGTACTGTAGATGCAATGTAACTTAAATTCAACAAAATGTGTTAAAAAGACCATCAAAATATGATCATACAGACATTTATTTTATTGTATTTTAAGAATCTTTATATGATTTCAACTGACATGACAGTGGGCCACACAATTAGAGTGGCCTAATTAAAAAATCACAATTATATTTTTTACAATTTTAAACATTACAAAGTAGCTAGCGAAGGCTGCACCAGAGCATACACGTGCACTTGACGCAGAAGTATAAATTAGCCTAAAGTCGAAGGAAAATGAACGAATGAATGAAGACTACAGAGTTTCTTCTTTACACCAACCATTGCTTTTAATTTGTCTTTGAATTAGATTTACTGTGAAATTGCAACACACTCTTACCTGCGGCAACAGTGGAGATTGTCGTCCAATCTGAGTCCACTGTCCATTTCGAACCCTGTACCCGCTTACAACTTTACCTGAAGGGCAGTGACAAACAAAGTTATCGAAACATTAAAAGGAATTTGCAAAGACTAAACTAAACAAAAACTCTGACAATGTAAATATTACAAGCACATTTAAAAAAAATGATCTCACCAAGGCTGTGTGTGTGTGTCCTGAAGGCAAATGGATACATCGGGGAAGATGTGTAAGTGCAAGCAATGTCTGCATTGGTAACTGTGAACACCAAAAATGTCATGTTATAAATAATCAACACAACACATTAGGGATGCTCATTTCATTTCATTTTACCAACAGACAACCGCAGCTAGTTAGCCTAATATTAACCGTTAACCGATGAATATTTAAATATTACTTAATAAAAAAAAAATAATTGAGGAGTCTATTTTGTGTGACACAAGAAATATATTAAAATACTGATTTATTTTATCATGCGAACAGCATACAGAACATAACAGAGCATCTTCACGCACATGCAGTGTTTCCTACAGCATAGAAAAATAGAATAAACTAAATAATAATAATAAATAACAGGCCTGCCCTAGATATTTAATGCCTAAATGACAAATTTAGATTACAAAATGAAAACACTAACTGAATCCTTTTTTTCCAATCATGTTTTTTTCTTCCGTCAAATAATATTATCAGGCTATTGAATCGATCGCTCCACTGAAAATATGCATTTAATTAATGCTCCGCTGTTATTACTATGTCACAAAACCCCTTTTAACATTTTAATAAAAGTCATTGGTTTAAAGATTAAGGGCCCTATCATACACCCGGTGCAATGTGGTGCAAGGCGTGGCACATTAGTCTTTTGGTACTTTAAGCTTGGCGCAAGGGTCATTTTGAGGTGTTGCGCCACACTGTTTAAATAGCAAATGCATTTGCGCTCAAATGTGCGCCCATAGGTGTTCTGGTCTAAAAAAGCAGGCGTGTTTTGGCGCGATGCTATTTTGAGAAACTGTAAATAGTCTGATCTTTAGACCAGAACAAAGTCGATCTATTGTCTGGCGCAAAGTGCGCCTGGCTTACACACTACACAAAAGATGCAGAGCAATACGCAAATATCTTTACATATGAAATATATATAATTTATTATATATTAAAATATTTTTTGACGGAATGCAAATATATTTACATATGAAAATATATAATATTTAAATATAAATATATAATAAAAATATATTATATATTATATAAATATATTATAGAAAAATATATAATATATAAATATACAATAAAAATATTATATATAATATATAATATAACGGATATATATATATATATATATATATATATATATATATATATATATATATATAATAAGGATATATACAGGATATAAATATAAATTATTAAAATATTACAAAACATTCATTTCTAGCCTACATGAAGATTTAAAAACCACTGCCTTACTTTCTTCATCTCGGGAGGCTTTTTCAGTTCATTCAATTTGCTTTTGTATAATGTTATTATTATTAGCAGTATTATTTATTATATCCATATTTATATTGTATGCTTTATATATGATTTATTATGTTTTATTAAAAACAAGCTTAGATTTGTCCACCTGTCAAATTTTAGACCATATGGGGCATGGCAGGTGTTTTTGGAAATAACAATATTTTGACCACACTTGGTTATCATTGATTATTTATTCGTTTGTTAGAAATTAGAACTGAATTTAGAAATAGTTTGAAACAAATCTTTGCGCTTAACACACAAAATTAATTATTTATAGGCTAATTGATGTCTGTGCGTGAAGGTTTCCCTATCCACGAGAGCAAAAGCGAAAGTGAACTTACTTTGTCAAAATGCGCTTATGGCGCGACGCAGCTGGCTCTTAAAGGGAATGGGAGATGAGACTCTAACTGGTTTATTCTCAAAACACACCTATAACTCATTAAGAAAATAAACTCAACCCTTTTAGACTATGCGTCATGGCGCAAAGCGGATTTTCCCATCCTTAAATGAGCAAAAATGCGTTCTGACACGCCCTGAAAGCGTTTGCGTCCTGCGTTTTGCACTCTGCGCATGGACCGTCAAAATAGAGCCCTAAGTCATAATGACTTATTTCCCCCGTCTCACTCGCAATCAGCATCAGCGCTGGTTTGTGTTAACTCGTCTGTGTCAAACTGTGACCTGAAATATTCTTCTTTCACTTTCGTTCTTTGACAAAATATGTCTGTAGGCACGTTTGGTTGCCCGTGTTACCGCCCTGCAAGTTAACAAAAATGTGTTGCACATCATGATTATTTAGGAGCATCAAAAATGGCGGATCTGTTTGGCGAAATATACAGCATTGATAATGTAGATTTTCTACATAGATTTTTCAACAAAACATCAGTAAACAGCGCTATTCCACCTAGCCTGCTTTACTGAGCTGAAGTTGCTTTAATATTCCCCTTGGTTCATTTTTGAACAATGACAGCCTCCCTTTACTGTTTATCATGCTGCTCTGAATATTCGCTCTGAAATAGCATGTAAGTATGGCTTAGTAATTAGCGTAATTCCTGCACGCCGCCGACCAACTACATTTCCAACTGGTGAATGACATGAACTAGTGAGTTGTCTGCTGTCAACTAACAATTTCAGGACGAGTGGCTTTAAAATACAGTCCCTCCCCTGCCATCCAAAGATATTATGCTAAGCTGTTAGCATTTTGGCAGATTACCTCCTGCATCTTTAACTATATCCCGTTAAATTGAAATGTTACCAAAAAAGCAAAAGATTAAAGACTATTTCCCTTTGTAAAGAATAATTTGTAGTATAGAATACATAAACAATAAGATGCTCTTTATAAAACCAGTAAAGCCAATAAATTACCTTTTTAAAACTTTATAAAAAATTAAAAATTATATTTTAATGGCAGATCTAATCTAAAACTGAAACACATCAACTTGAATAAATAGAGACGAAGGTTTAAATGTACCTTTTTTCCCAGGAGGAATCAGAGTGTCCACAGACATCATCAGATACATGCCAGCAATAAAGGGCTGTCTGCACACACACAAACATCATAATGAATCTCTAACGTATTACAGTACATCAAATGTAATAGACAAGGTAAATATATTATGCTAAAAACAAAACTTTGACTATTAAATTTAACATTGATCTCTATATTTTTTAAATAAGATAATGCTCATATGAAGATGTAATACACCTATAATGCATAAAACAATGCATTTACTTTTTTTTTTTTTTTAAATAGTCCAAGATCGATTTTATTCTACAGTAACAATAGGACATTCAATAAAAAAGTCCCCCACTCAAAACAATACTGCATACAGTAGCACTAAATTCTAAAAACACCACTTTTAAATCCTGATAAATGTTCATTGTTTTTTTTTATAAATCATTCACTGCATAAAATAAATAAAAAAGGGCTTATTTTGATTATGATGAAATAAAAGCGGAGATTCTAATATGTGACTTGTTTATATATCGGTTTTCCATGTTTGTTGCATTCAGGCTGATTTACAGACCTGTTACAGCTGGCTATTATGCTGCTGACGTCAATATATTGCACTCGACTCGCATATAAAACACACGCTTTAGGAGAATCAATGAGAACACAAGTGTGCTCTGCAGTGAATTACAACATGGTAACATCCATGAAACTCTGGATTGGCCAATCAGGATCAAGGACTAGTCATTTTACTTTTACTTTAATTATAATGATAATCATGAAAAAAAAACATCGATAAAAATTCTGTCATGACTACATTAACACATTCATATTTTCAAAGCTCATAAGCACACATCTGGCAAGTGCGAAATTAATTATAGCAGACATAATCTGACAAGAGCTAATTCAGTTGCGCGTTCTGTTTTTACTCATGTTCAAACAACACAACACTATGCATGCTGATCTGTTTTCTTTCTTTTTGTAAGCTCATTTTAAGATCACACAGTTATGATAAACCAACATATTTTAATATAAATGGTTTCAAACATCTTTTTAAAGACATAAATAACAGATAATCCTATTTTGCAATAGTTTCCAAATAAATATGACTACAGAATTGTTGGCCCCCCTGAATTATTAGCCCCTTTTATTTTTTCCCCCCCAATTTTTGTTTAACGGAAGATGGAAGATTTTTCCAACACATTTCTAAACATAATAGTTTTTATAACTCATTTCTAATAACTGATTTATTTTATCTTTGCCATAATGACAGTAAGCAATATTTGACTAGATATTTTTCAAGACACTTCTATACAGCTTAAAGCGACATTTAAAGGCTTAACTAGGTTAATTAGTTTAGGGTAGGTTATGTATAATGATGGTTTGTTCTGAAGACAAAAAAATAAAATAAAAAAAATTTAAAATCTTGAAAGAAAATTGCTTAAAAGCGGTACTAATTTTGACCTTAAAATGTGTTTTAAAAAATTTTTAAAGTGCTTTATTCAAGCCAAAATAAAACAAATAAGACTTTCTCCAGAAAAAAAAAAAAATTATCAGAGGTACTGTAAAAATTTCCTTGCTCTGTTAAACATAATTTGGGAAATATTTAATAATAATTCTGACTTCAACTGTGTGTGTGTGTGTGTGTGTGTGTGTATGTGTGTGTGTATATATATATATATATATATATATATATATATATATATATATATATATATATATATATATATATATATATATTTAAGGTTACAGGTATTTTTACACTTTTCCATTAGTTAATGTTACGTAATGTATTTTACTTATTGTGATCACCAGTGGTGTTGCCCTCGCAGGTCGCTGGAGATCACTGCCAGTAACACATTAAAACTACATTCCCCATCATACCCTGCATTCACGCACCAGTTTCAAGTTCACTCTGATTCCACACACAGCTAAAGGACATTATCATTAATTATTTGGACTATAAATACACCTTTCATTCACACATCCGTTGCTGAGTCTTGTTAGTGTTACTTCGCCATTCTGTTTTTGACGTTTCATCGTTTTGATTCCTGCCATCTGTCTTGACTCTTCGCCTGTTATACAGATTACACTTTGGATTTGCCTCTATTGATCTGTATGCTGGTTAGTGGTGGGCAAAGCGAGGCTTCATGAAACACTGAAACAGTCGAAGCAAATGTGTCGAAGCTTCGAAACATTTCAAAATGCGTCTCCACAGTGACACCAAGTGGTCATTTTTTTATGTATTGCTCTGGAACAGCTTCAGCAAAGAAGCTTGGGGGTGTCTTGCGGTTAGGGGTCCCTACCCTGTACTACTGTAGGTCCAGGTTTCAGGCAGCTGCTGAGATCGGATATTATGACAAGATCAGATAGTATAGACTGTACCAGTCAGGAAGCCAAGAAGCTGAATTTACGGGAGTTTTGCGGGAGACGGTACAAAACGGGAGATGGGTTTAAAATAAAATAATAAAAAGACTCCCGACTCCAGTGTTGGCAGGCAAGACTAGGATACAGTACATTAAATCATAGAGATTTTTCCATCACTGGCAGTCAAACTCCGAGGCTCTCAAAACGGCAATGAAATGGCCGATGCTTTGAATCGCTGGTGTTTTGAAACACTTTAGTCATGTGACCTTGGTGTTTCGGATCATGCTTTGCTGCAGTGTTTCAAAAAACTAGTGCTTCGGGATCTCGAAACTGTCTCTAATTGTCAGTTTCACATCAGCCGACCCTAATGCTGGTTTTCGACTAATCTCTTAAATAAAAAACTACATTTAGATCCAACTCCTGTGTTCATGTCTCCCTTCACTTAGTATGAACTAAGAATAAACACAGCTTTTATTATCTATAAAATCTAAATTTGTGCTTGATAACATTAGTTAATACACTGTGAGATAACAAAAACAATGAATGAGTTTATTTTCTTTAATCAAAGTTAACAAAGATGAATAAATACTGTAATGAATCTATTTGTTTGTTAGTAAATATATGAACTAATCGAACCTTGTTGTAAAGTTTGACCCAGATATTGTAATAAAAATAACTTACGGTTTGGAAGTCATTCTTAAAGAGAGTCCTGAGCAGTCTCTATGATGATCTACAGTCAAGACGAGATATACACATTAGCCACAACCTTCTCTCTGCCATTGCAGATAAAAACACAGCAGCTTTCGGTGGATCAAAGCATGCAGATCCCACAATGTTTAGCTCTGGATTCGCGGTACATGAGTGTTTACTGTACCTCTAAAGTTGTTGACATCACCATAGTGAATTTGCAGCACAAAGTAGTTAATTCTTGTGTCTCCTCCAACTTTAAAGCCAACATCTGAAAAAAAACAACAACAACAAAAAAACTCGTTCAAGATGCTTCTTTCTAAAGGATGATGCTAAATCAAGATGCTAAATGATATTTACACCTGGTATGATCATGCATTTACTGTTATCTGACCACAAGTGGTCAGTCAAGATCCATCTGTTTTGAAAACTTGCGTTCAGATAGTTTGACCTTTAGTCATGCCGCCCCCTTATCCTGGAATACTCTTCAGTCCTATCTAAAAATATCTGAGCTCATCCCAATTACATCGTTTCGCTTTATCCTTTTTAACAAACAACAACAGTCCATTTCTCAATGTATGCGTTTTTAATATATTCTAATGTGGTATAGCTGAACAACTAAACTGTCTTTTTTATATTATCTTTATTTTCTATTTATTATTATTAATATTATTAGTAGATTTGTATTAATAATAGACGCAGTGCTGAGAAAGGCACACAAACGCCTCTTCTTCCTCAGGCGTCTCAGGAGGTTTGGAATGACCCCCCACCTCCACGACTCTTTCTACACTAGCACTGTGGAGAGCATCATGTCTGGCTGTATCACCACCTGGTATGGAAACAGCACCAGCAGCAATCGCAAAGGCCTACATAGGATTGTGCGAACTGCTGGACGCGTAGTAGGAGGTGAGCTTCCCTCCCTCCAGGACATCTACACCAGACGGTGCATGACGAAAGCCAAGAGAATTATCAGCGACTCCAGCCACCCAAGCCATAGATTTTTCTCTCTGCTACCCTCAGGCAGAGGGTTCCGCAGCATCCGATCACGCACCAGCCGGCTGAAGAAAAGTTTCTTCCCACAGACTATCAGGCTGATGAACACTTAACACACCCCACACAGAGTCTTCCATACCCCTCACTGCACACCATCAATATGTAGCATGCACTGCACTTTAACCAATCCATATTTGAAACAATACTGCCTACAACTATGTGGACGCCTATTCGTTTTACATATCGCTGTCAATTTCACATTGTCGTTTTATTTGCACTGTCTGTATTTTTCACTGTCGTAGTATTTGCTGTATTTTGTACTGTCTGGAGCCAGCACCTAAGCTTTTCACTCATCATAGCACACGTGCTGCTGATGACGTGATAATAAAAGTGATTTGATTTGATTTATTATTATTATTTTCATAAGTGGTGAGTTGCGGACCTCATGGCCAGGTCACCCTTGTAAATGAAATCTTGATCTCAATGTTTTTTTTTTTAATCTGGTAAAATAAACACACAGCAAAGTTCAAGTTCTGTCATTATTTACTCATCGTCCACTTTTTTGGGACATTCGTCAGTTTTTGAGTCGTCCGATGAACGCAAAAAGATATTTTGAAAAGTTTTGGAAAGCACAGCCATTGACTTCTATACTATGGATGTCAATGGCTGCTAGTTACCAACATTAATCCGAATATGTTGTTTTGTGTTCAACAGAAGAAAGAACTCTAATGAAGTTCAGAAAAAATTGAATATGAGTAAACACTGAGGTATTTTTTCATTTTGGCTGAACTATCCATTTCATACTTCAATTAGACATTTTGAGATGAGGGAGAAGTGATATGGAATAGGCGAGCACCTTTGGGTAGTTTAGTTGGAGGAGCGTTCCTGGCCCAGGCGTACATGATCTTGGCCTGATCCCGACAGGTCCCCAGCTCTTTCCCGCAATCCCTGAGCACACAAGCAGAAACAAATATGTCAGAAATGATCCTTTTGGGTTGTTCTTTGTTTTCATTTTTGTGTGTGTGTGTGTTTCATGTGTACTGCCCATCCACCAAGACGTGCATCAATTTTGCAAATGGCTGACTAAGATAAACTTTCCACCCGATAAGAATAAATGTGCATTAACTACGATGGAAACACATTTACTGAATCAATTCCAGCATGCAAATCAAAAAAGGCATCTGGTTTTGTTAGGAGATCATGTGATAACAAAAAAAGAGTGTGATGGGCATTAATTGACAAACCAGCAGACTAATCCCACAATAAAAGATCTAAAATGTTGTTTTAGATTAGTGGATCCCAAACTTTTTGCTGTGTGCAGCCCCTTTCTAATATTTGACACCTGTCAAGCACGCCTTTCTCCGATTAAACTCCACATTTTTAACTACAATATGTAAATAAATACAGTTAAAGTCAGAATTATTAGCCCCACTGTTTAATTTTTAAACCCTATTGTTTAGTCTTATAGTGATGGTGTTTCATGAAATGTTCCTCTCCACTGATATGAGAGTATGTCTCTAATTCAAGGTCTTGTGGCCTGATGTATAATGACATTTGTTATATTTGTACTGCTAAGATAAAGTATGAGAGCGCACCGGAACACATGCAACTAAGATTACTTCATCTCCTGCTTCTCCTCTTTGGTTTCCTTCAACAATCAACCCCTATATTGATATTAGACTGTTAATTCAGTTGAATACTGGTTATCAGGTTTAGGCATTGGCAACTCTGCTGACATGTTGTCCAGAAACGGACATTTCCTGACAAGATCCAGGGCTGGATCTTATTTATCTGGCGTGGAGAGTGTGATCTAACATTACATACAAAACATTGCAATATTGTAGCTACACAAAATAGACATTTCCGCTAATTGTAATAATTGTAATAGCATGTAATACCATGTTCTGATTCAACTAAAAAACAAGCTGAAATTTACAAAACAGTGTGAGACTGTTCTTGCACAATTGTGCAAATGATGAAACACAAATTAAAGATAACGCAAGCCCAGCAGCTAATTTTCATTACGAAGAACATCATTTACCCAGGGGATCCACAGGTTTCATCAAGTCAAATTTAAGACTTTTTAAAGACGTTTTTAAGACCATTTTAAGACCCGAATGAATGAAATTTTAGACTTACACAAGACTAAACACTAAAGATTTCTTGAATGGCCAAGTTAAAACCTTAAAAAAAAAAACATTAAAACAAACACTACTGTAAGGAAGATAATTAAATCATAATCATTAATAATTGAATAGAGTAAATCAATGTTTCTTAAAATCTTTTATTGAAATAAATGGTTAGTGATTGGATGGGTGTTGGCCTGATTGAGTATAGCTTTACATGAACAGAGGATAACTAAGATCAAGCGGCAATCTCCTGCTCTCCCTCGAGAAGCCAATATGGAATTAACTAAAACTGCAATTCATCGACTTGCCTTTGGGGGCTCGCTAGATGTTCACTTATTGCAATGGTAAATTGGTCACTTTTACAGCTGATAAAAACAGGTTTACAGCCTGGTACAAACAATGGTTTTGGCGTATATAGCTAATATTACCCGTCATGACAACTGTGAGGGGGTGATTATTATTTTTTTTTTACAACTCACCCGTTTCGTTTTTATTAAGTTATATTAAGTCTGCATAATTAAGGGTGTGGCCACTTGAGTGACAGCTAGGTCTCTCTGCTTGCTGTCTCGTAACCTCAACTGATTACGGCTGATTAGCCGCTGATCTCGGCATATACATCGTATATTACTTTTGTTTTATGTGGCTTTACAAAGTCAATTGGCTTTTGGAATAATTCCTATAATTATCAGATGATATGGCATGCTGTGTGCACTTAATTGTGCCCACATACCATACAAGTGGCCTCAGTTTCACAGGTAAATGAGATTATATACATATAAACCATCTCTATAAATGTATTTAGGATAATTTATCATTTATAATGTTCTTTAAGGATTAATCCACATGGAGAACATAAGCGTATTTAATGCAGTTTTTTTTTAAAGATATATGTATCACAACTGAATCAGATCTGTAGAAACTTGCTAAGATCACAGAATAAAAAAAGTGACTTTTTTTTTCATCTCACAATTCAGACTTGTAATTATCCACACATGTTCTCCTCACAGGACCCAACATTCCATCATTTCACAGTACTGCAAAATGACATTTGATTTTTTGCACACTTGCTATAATTAACCTATTTTCACACTGAACCAAAATGCTTCTGAAGCCTCACATCACACACTGCAGTCTCTCAATGATGAATTTTTTATAAGTCATGGGTGACATTAAAAACAAAAGCTTCTGGATATGGCAACATACGCGATGTAGAGTGAAGACAACAGACAAGGAAAGAACACTGTGAAAAAATGTGCCTATTTGAAAGCTTTAATTAGCATTGACATGTATTCGGTTCATTTATCAGTTTGTAATATGACTGACAGTTTCTTACATATATATTGTTTTTTTTCTCATCTAAACTCAAGCCCATGGAGAGAGAACAAGAATGAGAGCCACTCCCTTTCTCTTTAGGTCATCTCAGATACCGTTGTCAAGGTGCAAACGGTTGCCGTGGCAACTGGCAGGTTTATTAATTTTTGCTCTCTTTCTATGGGGAAGCTGCAGTTGTGACACATAGATCATTTGGGAGTTAGGTTATTTTTAAAAAGGCATCTACAAAAAAAAGGCATTTGCAAAATACAAATGAAATCAAAACTAAGCATTTTTTTAGCTCACACTGCCAGTTTTGTGGTGAAAAATTCAACTGTGGATGTTATTTAGAAAAAGAAATAGTTTGCTCTTGCAATCTAAGATTAAAATATGAAAATGCACTTCTTGTTTTTTTCAGTTAAATTCTCAGATTTGGTTATTTTGAGGTATTGGGGTGTGGCTTACATACTTAACCACGCCCCTCCAACTATTAGTTTTGACAGCAAACAGAAATGGTGAGGAGGAGGTGTCTGATAGGCTGTAGTAACTCTTCTAAAACCAATTTCACAAATCTGTCTGAATGAAATGCCTACTTTACTACATCCAATCAGTGGACAAAACAAGCCACGCACACAGTTTTCTCACTTAATAATTTACATCACAATATAAAGAAGAAAAAAACTGTCGCACCGTCTGGTACAAATGGACTTTAAGGGCTCTATTTTAATGATCTAGGCACAAAGTCTAAAGCGCAGGGCGCAAAAGCATTAAGGGCATGTCTAAAACCACTTTAGCTATTTCAAGGATGAAAAAAATACGCTCTGCGCCGTGGCGCATGGTCTAACAGTGTTGAGCTTATTCTCTTAATGAGTTCTGGGTGTGTTTTGAGAATAAACCAATCAGAGTCTCATCTCCCATTCCTTATAAGAGTCAGTTGCATCGTGCCATGGCACATTTGCTATTTACAGAGAAGACTTGTAAGAGGAAAAACTGAATGCTTCAGTCTAACAGACAGAAAACAGTTTAACAGACCATCTAGCACAAGGATAAAAAATGAGCCTTGTCCATTCGGCCATTACTTTCTCTTTCTCTCTTTCGTAGATAAGGAAATGGTTTTGTACACTCGACTGAATAAGACATCCTTTAGCTTACAAAATTCATTTTGTTTGTTAAGCACACAGATTTGTTCAAAACTATTTCTAAATTCAGTTCTAATTTCCGGCGACGCAGTGGCGCAGTAGGTAGTGCTGTCGCCTCACAGCAAGAAGGTCGCTGGTTCGAACCTCGGCTCGGCTCTGTGTGGAGTTTGCATGTTCTCCCTACGTTCGCGTGGGTTTCCTTCCCCATAGCCCTATGCCTTCAAGCTAAAGAGAATTGGGACAGCCATGCCCTTTCACGGGTATGCACAAAACAGAGGGTAAGGGTAAGGGATAAGGGCTAAAACTGGGATTGGGCCTTAATGATGACCGAATTTTTATTTTTGGGTAAACTGTTCCTGACCCATTTGCACAACTTATATTTCAAATTGTGGGGCGAAGCAGTGGCGCAGTAGGTAGTGCTGTCGCCCCACAGCAAGAACCAGCTGGGTTGCTGGTTCGAACCTTGGCTCAGTTGGCATTTCTGTGAGGAGTTTGCATGTTCTCCCTGCATTCGCGTGGGTTTCCTCCGGGTGCTCCAGTTTCCCCCACAGTCCAAAGACATGCTGCAGGTGAATTGGGTAGGCTAAATTGTCCGTAGTGTGTGAGTGTATGAGTGTATGAGGGTGACAGGCCCAGACGACAGGCCGACCGGAACGTGTAAAAAAAGTTGTTACGCAACCATACGGGCCTAAGGCCAAAGAAGAAGAAGAAGAAGAAGAAGAAGAAGAAGAAGAAGAAGAAGAAGAAGAAGATGATTTTAAATTGTATGACTACTACATTGAAAACATTATCTTTGTAAACTTACTTTGTGTTAACAGCAAAAACGGTAAAATAGTAATATATGTATGCTTCACATGAGATGTATGAGACTGAAAACTGTTGTTTCTTGTAGTAGTAGTAATGCAAGAAGTACTACAAACTCTCTATTAAGTAGTAGCAGTGCAAAAATAAGATGTTCTTTTTTCCCGAACGCTCCTACCGTCTCACACCCATTTGTAATTGGATTGGAAAAACAGGTTCTGTAATCTCAGCTGAAACTCACTCTCAGTTAAAGCAAACAGAGATCAATGTTTCAGTGTGTCGCAAGGTCACAGTGTGCGCAATCTTCAGCAAACCCAACATGAGTTTATTAATGGCTGACGCATAAAACAGTGATAGGAGTAATGTTTAACGCTGAACAATGAACCACTTTGTCCGTTACAGCTGAAAATACAATTTGTGCAATTGTTTATGTCATTTAATAGAGCTGTGAACCTACACTAGTCTCACGGTTCGGTTCGGTTACGATTATCATGCCATCGATTCGGTTCAATTTCTGATTCTTGTCTAGTTCTCTTACACCCCTTTGATTGGTCACACCCTCAAAACAAAAACAGTTGCGATTGGCTCTTGCGCGCTGTGTTCTTCATAGATGAGTGATACTGATCAGCGGCAGGTGGCAGCGGCGATCTCACAGCTGATGTATGATAGACACGGTGGAGAAAACTCTGCAGACACGCGCTCATTTCTGTATGCAAAAGTAACGCTGTAAAACAACCGAGAAGAGAAGAAAAACCACGCCAGCAGGTCAAATGGGCCACTGTGTGTGTGAGAAAGAGAGAGAGAGAGAGCGAGAGAGAGAGAGAGAGAGAGAGAGAAAAGGAGTAGGCTACATTCATTCTGTCGATCTCAGTGAAATAGGGGCTATTGTTGTATATGTCAGTGAAAGACTGATCCAGCAAACACACACAGTGAAATTGTGCACAGTTTATGAGTTTTAAGTAGATAAAGCGCTGTAAATACTCGCAAACACCTCCCTCGCAACAGAGCGCATATGAGGTAAATGACGTCAGTAATAACCGGTTATGATTATTACTGAACCGATACCGAATTGTCCGCGTCTGCATCGCAGTGCACCGAAGAAACGATTAATTTTGACACCCCTATCATTTAAACAGCAAAAAACATAAAAATACCAGGTTTAGTTGATTTGTTAAAGGGCACCCATGGTGAAAAATCTACTTTTCAAGCTGTTTGGACAGACATGTGTGTAGGTATAGTGTATAGACCATCCGATTGGGGTGATATAAACGCACACAGTCCTTTTTTTTTTAAATTTAACAACATAAAAACGGTGGACTAATTGTAGCAGTTTTTAGATCGACCGCAACTTGACGTAGAAGTGCGGTCCCCCCACCCACCAATATTGATTGACAGGCGCACGTCACCATATCCTCAGTTTGTCGTTTCTCATCCACCATTTTCAGCGAGCGAGTCAAAGTGATATCACCAAAGGAACACCCTTGCTCTATTTTTAGATGCAAGGCTCATTGGGCTCAACACAAGATCAGCTTTCACCACATGATCGCTGTAATCGGAATTATTGTTTGTAACTTAGTTTGTTTGTAGGTAGGTTTGCAAACTAGTGTACATTTTTTAATTGCGTCCATCTTAAACCAGCCAGGATTCAGGACACTTCATATTTCTGCCGCGCCACAGAGCGCCATCTGAACATGCAAATGTCTGTGGTCTGTGTCTGGAGTGCCGTGTCGCGGCTCTGAGCGGGTCATCCAGTTCATCCGTCAAAGTTAATCCAGTGTGCGTGGTTATGTGTCTCGGTGTACAAACTCGGAACTTTAAACTAGCACACAGTCGACTGTAAAATTATACAAAGACACAAATGTTTGTGTACTTTCTGCTTGATCTGTGTCCGAGTCGTAATTGTACGGCTGAATGCTGATCCTCTCATGTTGCTTCTCTCTGTCTGCCTGTCTGTTGCCAAACACAGAGCGGGGGAGCTCTTGGCTCCGCCCCCTTGTTACGTTGGGCAGGAATTTGAAACTAATTTTCCATGTGAATCAACACACCCCTAAAACAGCGAGCTGTGTACACACCCTAACATAACACTTTTGAACACATTATAGTAAAAAGATCTGAACTGTGTTTTGAACTGAACCTAAACTGGCACTCTCAGAAAAACCATAATAATAATATTAATTCATAAAAAAGGGGTAAACTATGTGCCCTTTAAATGTTTTTAATGCGTTCCTAGGATGCATTTATTCAATCCAAAATACTGTAAATATTGTAATAATGTGAAATGTTAACACAGTTTTGAAATAATGCTTTTCTGTTTAAAAATATTTTTAAAAATGTAATTATTTCCATGATTCGAAGCTGAATTTCAACATCTTTCTTACAGTCTCTGTCATTTTTACAGACTCCAAATCATGCCTCCAAGTGTCATTCTTGGATTGTTAATATTTAACTTAAGTTTACCATCTACGAAACCAGTTTTATCACATCATTTTTTTGCTGGGTTCCCTGACATGTTAGGCTTTTAGTAAATGAGCGGGCTGATGCAGCTGCTAAGGACGCATTGAAGCAAGTGGTGAACAAATTTCTACTTCAGAAATGAGACCTTTTATCAACGTTTACATTTTAAATAAGTGGCAAGAGGAGTGGGATGCACTGAAACTTGATTACTTTAAAATATTAGAATAAGGTAAATCAACATAACAAATGTTGTCTTGAATTGACAGTGCTTGTAAAGCGGCACTTTAGTTTTGTCTGCAAATGAAAATGCTTATAAAAGTATCAGAGGGAACTCACCAGTATCCTTGAGTAGCATAAGGGGTTTTGCAGCCATATAAAATCATGTGGTGGGCTGTGTCCATACTGGCATGGGGAACAAAGTCCACTGAGAAGAGAAGAGATGATTTTAAGGTAAACTTGGTAATCTTATAGAGAATACGGTGATGGTAGGATGAACATCTTTAATGACGATCTGAAATTTCTTGATAAATTGTAATGATTGCAATGTCATAGCTTTTCTGCAAACGAACAATATCTAGGTTTCACCATAAATATTCTATTTTAATGTATCACATGACAAACGAATGATGGAAACACCAAAAATGTGAAAGTAATAATAAAAAATCTCTTAATTTTTTTAATGCTAAATAAGGTTAATGTGAAAAATGGAAGATGGAAACTCATTTGCTGTATAAACTTTGACTTAGTGAACAGCACACCCACTAACTAATAGCTGTCTCCATTATGCTTGCCTTGCTTCCTGTTGGTTGCCAGGTTACCAATACTACAGTCAGCTGCTCTAAACACTTGATGGAAACGCACCTAATTCACTTTCTTTTTTAGAACTTTGAAAAGATTTGCTTTACATTAAGATGGAATATTCTCTGATCATTTACGGAAGCTAAACTGGCAGAAAAGTGTAAAGTTATTTAAACTCAAAATAAATTATTTATCGAGCAAAATTGAGGAACAACAAACGTGATCGAAATAAGGACACAATAACGATCATTGTTTATTTTATATTACTATGTTTCCGGAAAAAGTTCGCTTAGGCAAGAAAATGGAAACAAATTTAGCAAAAAATAGTTGATTATGTAAATTCTAGGTGATGGTGTGTTCTTTGACAAGGAAATCTAGGCTAGTTCACTTGTTTGGTTCAAGAAGTTTATGAACAATTAAAAACAAGAGCACACTGGAGAGCTTCTTCATACTAAAATCGTACAATTCTAACTAAAAGTAGCAATATTTATTTAATTTAGTACTTTTAAACTTCTGATTTTAAAGGAATCTATTGTATAAAGTGCTATACAAAGGGCCATTCATTTCAATGCCCTCATGAGTTGGTGTGGCATCTGTCATTGCTTCGCACTCTCTAAAGAGCCACCACTGACAAATTCTTGCTGTAGCTCTGATACAAGCTTTAATTAGAAAGAATTGTTTAAAGCAACAGTGTTTGTGTCCTCTGCATTTGTCTCTGACAAGATTAGTCTATATTTTTACTGAAATGTATATAATCTATACAAATAGTGAATCTGACCCAGTCGAGGTTCGAACCAGCGACCTTCTTGCTGAGTGGCGAACATGCTACCCACTTTGCCACCGTGCAGCCCATATATAACATATTACTAAATTCACATGTATCTGATGAGCGGCGCGGTGTTGCATTGAGTAGCGCTGTCGACTCACAACAAAAAGGTCGCTGGTTTGAGCCCTGGTATGCACTATAGGTCAATTAGGTAAGCTTAATTGTCCGTATTGTATGTGTGTGAATGAGTGTGTATGGATGTTTCCCAGTAATGGGTTGCAGCTGGAAGGGCATCTGCTGCCTAAAACATGTGCTGGATAAGCTGGCAGTTCATTCCGCAGTGGCGACCCCAGATTAATAAAGGGACTAAGCCGAAAAGAAAATGAATAAATCAATGTTTCTGATGTGATGAGGTGTATATGTGTATATCTGGGCCTCTGGAAAAGATTCTGCACAGTAATTTACGCATATGATTGAAAATTAGCAAGTAAAATTTACGATAAAATTTCGAACAGTTGTTTTTAGTGATCTCAATTACAGCTTCAAATAATCGTTTACAGTGCAGCTTTGCATGAAACATCTGTAAAGGGTCTGAAAGGGTGAATGCTGTTTGCTTTTGTGAGCATTAATATGCTGCCCACACTGAAATGATAGAAATCTACAGACAAGGCCTCTATCTCCGTCTGTTATAGCTATGAATAATAGATGGGATGCTTGATTGATGGCAGTAGCAAGACAAACATAATGTATCTCTCAGATACATGCATAAGTGTGGGTGGGCCTGTTATTTTGCAAACCAGTGTGTGTTTTCTCCAAACATCACTGCAGTGTAACACAATACACACTTGCAGAAATGTACAAATTCAAAGCAAGTCATTTGGACACAGCCATTATGCAGTTACAGTAAGTTAATAGGGTAGGTAATAGGGTACATACATCAGTGGAAATCTTATTTATTCTGCTTTCAGATGATGTATAAATCTCAGATTTCTAAAACTTCCTTATCGCTGGTTCTGTGGTCTAGGATCAATATAATAAACCTCTAAACTAGGATAATAGAGACACTTTAGGCAAGGCAAGGCAAGTTTATTTATATAGCACATTTCATACACTTTAGCATGTTGTTTAGCATTTCATACACTTTAGCATGTTGTAAAGAAAAGAATATAAAAAAGGGAATCAGATCATCTCTAAAAGCAGAATGAATGATCTCCACCAGCTGCAACCAATAATCCGCTGTATGAATAAAGATTTTTATTGGCAGAGAATAACAACAACAAACAGCCTGCCGTTGACCCTCGGCCACTGATGCTCAAGTTTCAATATTACAGGGATTCACTGGCCTAGATGACTTATGTAAATATCTGCTTAAGCACACAGCAGGATGGAGAGTTTATACTATGATGCTTTGAGTAAATGAAAATTAAACAGGAGAGACTGGCCTGACGAGATTATATATTTAAAGCCTGGTCAGATTAAACATTCATTTCATCACCAGGATCACAGTTAACAAATTCAGGGCGACGAAGCCTCCCTGTCCAAACAGTACAGAACAAGCACTCATTTAAAAAAAATAAATAAATAATTTAATGTACATTTATGAGGGTTTTTTTCTTTGTTGTTTTTTGATCCTGTTTATTTGTAGATACTTTCTTTTGTGACCCTCATGTTTAGGTTTAATTTATTTAATAAAGCTTCTTTTAAAGATTTAAAGTTAAGAAACAATTCAACAATTTACTACTGGCTTATTACCTTCCGTTTTGCCGCCTCAAAGGGGAGAGAGTTTTTCCGGGCCGTTCTGCCCTGAGCTTTGGGCGTAGTTTGGGTTTTAAAGGGTCACGAAACACCAAAACACATATTTTGAGCTGTTGACAGTCGTATATTTGTCCCACACTGCTAAAAACACTATTAGGACACCTATATTTCACTAAAAAGTGTAAATTGGTTGTTTTCGCGTTATTTCGAGCAAATTCGTACTTCCGGTTTGAAACGATTTTTTGAAGCTGCGTCACGGTCATGACATAATAGCGTTGTATTCCAGCGTGCAGACTGGACGTCTGTGCCAGAGCGTGTCTTATTACGTCTCAGAGTGTGCTGCATTAATGCATGAGTAAGGCTTGGTTCAAACCAATCAGCGCGATCTATTGTGCAACTTCATTAATATTCATTACTGTCACAGTGATTAGACGACAGACACGCCACGTTGTATTGGCAAAACAAGCGTGAAGCTTTTATAGTTTGCTGCAGTTAAGTTTTGTTTTCATTTTCTCTCTGTGAGAGCTCAGACTCACGTGTGGATTAACAGTGTACGCGACGCTCGACAACAATAACTAACGTGTCTAAGGAGGAACATTGTTTACCTGAGAGCTGTTGTTATCTGCAAACGCTGAGATCCGGATTCGCTTGTAGTCTCCTCTTAATAAAGACGTGGCTCTAGTTGCTGGTGATTGTCCTGTCTGGTAAGTGAGCGACCATTACTCTTTGTTTATTCAGTTTGTTCGTATCGAACTAACTATTGAGTGTAAACATGCTAGCACCACAACCAAACTTTAACCTTTTGTAGGATTTTCACCGCATTTTGTGACAGGAATAACACACGCGGCTTTCTGACGCTACCTGCTGTGTGCATCTAAGTTTCCGGGAAATGCAGAGGGTTTTTTTCTCTCATTTGCCGTGCGGTATCAAACATTGCATGAAAAATACACGCTTAGAGCAGTTCCTCAAATCAAACATCTCATTTGTTGCGAGGGACATGACTGAATTCCCTGAATGAAAGAGCCAAACTGCAGTTAAAGTCCACCATTTAATAATTTGGCAAATAATTCGACTACAGATGTCCATTTAAACACAGTCAATTTCTCCAGTGTGTGTGTGTGTGTTTTGACTCTGAAACTCAGCGGTTGCCCTATTAGACAATCCCACACCATCCCTCTTTAGTTCCTCAGACACTCCCCCCTAAACAGAGCTGGACACGCCCACTTTTCTGACTTTTTCCAAAATAGAGGTGTAAAACACCCTGCTGAAACGATGGGGTTTCATGGCCCTTTAACTGTTGGTCTGGTTACACCCTTTTTTCTACTGACTGACCAATAGTCTCCTGGCAAAGTTTGAGAGGGAGATTTTCTTTGTCTCTGAACCGCTAATATGCAAACTAAGGGTCCGCCCGGAAGCATGCGATGAGACATTAACTCAGAGCATTAAATAATGTAAGCCGTGGTGATTATGATAATGCGCTACGCATCATGTGTTGTAAAATGGCCGGAGGAACATATCGATACCAAACACGAAAGTTTTAGGAAAATATCAACATGATTCAGGATTTCTTACATTATTGATGCTTTAACAGGCTCAAAAGTACAAGGCGTACAGGTTATATGAGGGATTACACAAACTAAAAGTTAGGTGTACTTAAAACAAAGAAATTTGGGTTCTAAATGTTTGTTTGTTTAATATTGAGGAATGTCTGTGTGTGTGGGCAGAAGGTTGAGGCAAAGAATGGGCTTGTGCCTCTCTTTTACATTATCTGCCATGTTCCTTTGAAGTTTGGAAAGAGGGACTCAGGCCAGTCTGCTAAGGCCCCGTTTACACTAATTCGTTTTAGTTTGAAAACGCATAAGTTTTGCTACGGTTACGCCATCCGTCCACACTACGCCGGAGTTCTCGAGCGCCGAAAACGGAGCGTTTCGAAAATGCTGGAGATGCCGTTTTCATTCTGAAACGCTGCTGCTCCGTCTCAGTGTGGATGATGGAAAACGGAGACATCTGAAAACAGAGGCGGGGCTGCAGACATTCGCCTCTCTGATTGGGGCTTTTCCTCAATATTAAGTAGCCTAACACACACAGTTCAGTCCTGCATCTTCTTCGTGTAAGTTCACAGTCTCTTCTTTTCAGTTTAATATGGAAAACAGACTATACCGAGGACACGGGTAAATCTTCAAAGGGAACAGTGTACTTTATAACTTCATTCACATCACCCTGGCTACGTTGTTTCACTTTCTCAACATATTTTCATTTTAATATTAGCAACTTAACAGACAGCAGAAATGTTGAGGCGTGGTGCTGCATATATGAGCGTCATCTTCACTGTGTAGATATATATAAGAAAACGGAGCCGATAACAACTGCCTCCTTTTTATTTCAGTGAAAATACGAAACCCTCTCTTATTATCAGTTTTAATAATCGATAATGGCCATTATAAAAGTTTAACATAAATAAGTTTATACATTATAGGAAATAAAGGCAAGCGATCAGTCAATATACAGAATAGGCTACGTGCTTACATTAATCATTAACTTATCTTTGCGCTCAGCCAAAACACGTTACCTGAGAACAAGTAATAGATTCCAGTGACCAAAGTCAAGGAATATGTCGTTAGATACAGACAACAAGATGAATGAAATATCCCGTTTAATAAATATAGTGAGATTAGATCCAGCGGGAGATGCTTGATGAGAAGTCCGACTAGCACAGCTCTCATCTGGGTAGATTGGCTGCAGCGCTTGCCCGAGAGTGTGTGTGTGGTCACGTGATGTGCGTTTTCAGCGTTTTGGTGTGGACGGAGAGCAGTTCAGAAACGCTGGGTAAAACGCGAGTGTGGACGCGGATCATTTTCATTCTAAAACGCCGTTTTAAAACTAAAACGCACTAGTGTAAACGGGGCCTAAGTGTACCGGCGTAATTGAATTGTCACCCAGACATGCTCAGAGCAGACTTCCTTGCACCAGGTGATCGTAACTGTCCTCTTAGACTGAACCCAGATCGTTTTTTTTTTTTTTTAAATCAATACGTAGTTTTATCTACAGACTGTACGTTACACTGCTATAAGGATATTAGCTGCTTATTAGAACGTATAAAGTATGACCTTCTACAACCCTAATCCTACACAATACCTAAAGCGGACGACTACTTTACGAACTGTTAATAAGCAGCTAATTAGTAGTTTACTGAGCTATTTAATAGAAATTATATAGAAATTGTGCTTACTACAGTTAATAAAACCTTTACTCACCAATATAGGCCTCCCGTGAGGTTGGGACAGGAACAGCCATACAGTAGTAGCTATCAGACTGTTGAAAAACACACACACAGATGCATATATTAGAAAGTTCGTAGAATATTTCAGATTCACATATTCACATTCCTGATCATGTTTACTAAATCAGACCTGGAATGCTGAATATAATTAAGATAAGTGAAACCGTTATGAATGCATCCAAAGTTTTGAATTTAACTTGTAAAACAATAGGAATTGCTGAAATGAACTAGTAAAGTTGGCTTTATATTTGCACATCCAGGGCCCTATCATACACCCCAATCTAAATGCTCATCTTTAAGGCGCAAGGCGGATATTTTCAGACCAGCACAACCCTACCTTTCCCATTTTCTGCCAATTAAATTTTCCATTTTTACATTGTTTAAATAGCAAATGCATTTGCGCCACTTTGTGGACTCATGGGTGTTCCAGTCTAGAAAGACGGTGTGTTAAGGCGCATTGCTGGCGCGTTTCTATTTTGAGGAACTAAACTAGACTGCAATACATCAGCTAAAAGCAGATCCAGCGCAAAGCGCGTTAGTTGTGCTTCTCGCTTACACATTGCTTAAAACATGCAGGATGTACAACAATACGCAAATATCTTCAAGGCTCCTACACACCGGGGCGCTTTTCGTTTGCGTTTATCGTCAGTGTTTTACAAGACGTTTTTCAGGATTTAAACCCAAGCGATTTTCACTGGCATCGAGCAGAAGAATATACTAAATCTCTCCTTGATGTTAGATGGTGCTACATAACTTTAAGCTTTTGACACCTGCTAGTAACACAGAAGAAGCAAAGTTGACATGCTTGTTGTTATGGATGGTTCAAGCAGTAGCTCCAGCTCTAGCGATAGCGAAATAACGCAATTAGCAGCTCCACGTTCATATCGCCTCTGGGCATCTTCTTCAATGTGCGCTCGCATTGACAGTTTTGCGCTTGAGCGCCTCCAAGTGCTGTTTACTGTAACTTCAGCAGCTCCGTGCACGTGAACAACAGTGCCGATCTGATTGGTGGAGAAGGCTTTGACGTGGCGCGTCAAAACAAAAAAACGAGCATGAGGTATTTTTTTTTAATGACGCTTTTGCGCATGCTGTTTTGCACGTTGGTGTGCACAATCACATTGATGCCCTATATCAGAGGTGGGCAAACTATGGCCCGTGGGCCATATGCGGCCCGCTAAACACTTTCATTGACTGGAAATGGGTGAGGCTAAAAATAAATAAATAAATACTGACTCTGAATGTCGTGTGTCTTAGGAAGAATGGACCACAAAATACTTCTTCCCCAATTTCAGACTGAAAGCTGTAGGTCTAATATGCCAAGAAAGTATTGCTGTTTTTAAAGTCTACAACTTAAGTCGGCATTTTTCAAACATTCAAAAATTTTTAATGTGTTAATATGAGATTTTTATCTAATCAAACAATATCTTTTCTATTCTCCCCATTAAAAATATTACATTATTATTATTATTATTATTATTATTATTTATAAGGGATTATTTTATTGTTTTATGATGTTTGATAATTAAATATAAATAGCAGTGCAAATGAATTCGACTTGTAAATATGACTCAATAATAACTATTAAAAAAAAGATGTGTTAATGTGACATGTTCCTGTCCGATATTACATGTTCCATGCATACTGCCACTATTAATAAAAGTTTTTTTTTTTTTTAAGGATTTGATATGTGGCCCTTCACTTAGTTTGCAAAACTTGATGTGGACCTCGGGTCTAAAAAGTTTGCCCACCACTGCCCTATATTTAGTCACGAGGCGTTAAACGTTGATGGAAAACGTGAGCAAATAATGTCTCGGTGTGCACAGGCCTTCACACATGAAAATTAATTAAAGGATACAAATATTACAAAAATTATTATTTTCTATAAATATAAAAACCACTGCCTCCATGTCTTCATCTCAGGTGGCTTTTTTAGTTTATTCATGACAACTTGCTTTGGTCTAATGTTATTATTATTATTATTATTATTTATTATATGCAATTTTATATTCGTTTCATTAGAAACAAGCTTAGATTTGTCCACCTGTCAGGTTTTAGACCATATGGAGCATAGCACATGTGTTAGGACACACTTATTATTTTTAATTTATCTGTTTGCTGGAAATTGAACTGAATTTAAAAATAGCTTTGAAATAAATCTTTGTGCTTAACAAACACAAATTAAATATGTAAACTAATGGATGTCAGTGGAGTGTGCAACACCATTTCCTTATCGATAAAAGAGAGAAAGTGAAAGAGGCCCATTGAAGGAGGCTCATTCTTTATCCTCCTTCATCCTAAAATGCGACCGTTTATTTTTTCTTTGAGCAAAGTGACATCTTGTGACATGGCCCCAAATAATTGGTCTTAAATAGCATGCAGGTGTGCCTTCAAAACAAAAATAGTATTATTAAATTGACTGTGAACAATGTTGTCGTTTGATAGTCATTGGCTGCCAATATGATTTCCCTGTTTAGAATTGGCAAATAAAACTTTTCTGAAAATATATTAAGAAGGTTTAAGTCTGAGGGCACTTTCACATCTGTAGTTCGCTTCATTTGGTCTGGACCAAGGGCAATAAATGATACATTGTTGCGTTTTCTGCCATCTTTGGGTCGTTTTCGCACCACATTGCTGGCTTTGGTCCGAACCAGTTGAAACAAACCAAAATGCAGTCATCTGACAAAATCCACATCTCTCATTGGCCAGATGTTGTTAAACATGTTTCCTAAACTGCTTATTGATTGGTTAGAATTCACGTGCGGGGAAAAGCCAATGAACTCCCGCAATTAAACAAAACCAGCAGTCGCAAAATGTCGTTTTTACTCTGGAGGGACGACTGCGCTGGCTGATTGTATGCCTGCTTTAGACAAGCTATACATTTCAAGAATGAAGCGCGGCCGGAGCTGGAAAACAGTGTTTTAATGCATCGCTCGTCACTTCAGGAGGAGGCGTGAAGTAATTTAGCTAAACTGCGACATGGTCATCTTGCGGAAATATTACCAACGAGCCATCAGGTAATGTTTTCCCCTCTCTCTCTTTTGGTAAAGCGCTGTCAACAAATATTTTTCCTCCATATCCCATAATGCACATCGCATCGGCCTACGGCAGCTGAATTAGTCCAAAACGCGCAGTACTTTTTGCGGTTGGACCTGTTTTAGTACGGATCATATTCTCACCACAAACGAACCGCTCTAGGGTTCGTTTGAAAGCGTACCAAGACCACCTTTTCAAGCAGGTCTCGTTACGCTTATTTGGTCCGCTATTGGTGCGCTCGAGTACGATTGCTGCATTCTCACCTGCCCAAACGAACCGCACCAAAAGGGAAAACGAACTCTAGTGCGATTCAATCGAACTAAATGAGGCAGGTGTGAAAGCACCCTGAATGTGCTTGACCCCATATTAGCTCTGTTTTTCTTACATAATAAATAAGTTGCTTCTCACAGTGCACTTGATACACACGAACAAAGTTGTGTTATCTTGCATTCACATGACTAATATTTGGGAACGAAACCTTGTGGCACAGTTTTGGAAGGTCGTTAACAATTAATTCTAATGACAGGATTTGGCTCCCGGATATCAGGATGACTAAAACTACATTTGAGATGATGTGTATTGTGATTGGTCAACTGGTTAGTCAAGTTATCCACAGGCTTTGAAGAGCAAACAAATGAAAGGTTTTTTACAGTTCTGCCCTTAGGGAAAATGCTTGCTTTCCAATGCTTTTCTAAACACATAAACTATATTTTTTGTAGATTTCAACAAAAGTGTTTGTGTCCAGAAGACAATAATAACATCCACTGATTTCAGCTATAATTGAAAACCGGTTAATTTAAAGCTTTTATGCACTACGTTAAGTATATAAAATCTAAATGTACCTATTGTACATCGATGACTCATCTTTGCCTCATGAGTATTCATAAGACTGCAGTCCTATGTGAGGAAGCTCACTTTAATTATTCACGACAGTTGCTTTTCTATGACAGATGCTTTCAAAGGTGAAAAAAATAACAGCATATATTCAATGCCGAGCACAAATATAAACAGCTGTGCATTAATTTGTGAATTAAATAAAGCAGTTACATAATCAGATTACCTTTTAGTAACTAGTAAAATAACACATTAAACTTTCATATCCAAGAAAATATCAGAGTTATGAGTATTAACTTATAGCTGTCATGTGGTATGGGTGTGTTTATAATTTAAAGTGAGCTTACAAACGGATGCTTATTTTGATTTACAGTTGAAGTCAGAATTATTAGCCCCCTTTGAATTTTTTTCTTATTTTTTAATATTTCCCAAATAATGTTTGACAGAGCAAGGTACTTTTCACAGTATGTCTGATAATGTTTTTTCTTCTGTAGAAAGTTTTTTTTTTTTCGGCTAGAATAAAAGCAGTTTTAAATTTTTTAAAAAACATTTTAAGGTCAAAATTATTAGCCCCTTTAGGCTTATTTTATTTTTGATAGTCTACAGAACAAACTGTCATTATACAATAACTTGCCTAATTACCCTAACCTGCCTAGTTAACCTAATTAACCTAGTTGAGCCTTTAAATGTCACTTTAAGCTGTATAGAAGTGTCTTGAAAAATATCTAGTCAAATATTATTTACTGTCTTCATGGCAAAGATAAAATAAATCAGTTATTAGAGATAAGTTATTAAAACTATTATGTTTAGAAATGTGTTGAAAGCACTTCGCCATCAATGATATTTTTGATCTTCATATTCCTAGATCATTTGAAGTACTTTATTTGGGAGATACTCCTATTAATCTTAAAAAGGAAGATAAATATCTATTTAAGATATTTTTGGCAACAAGTAAAAAGCTATAACCTGGAAATTGTATAAAGAAGAGCCACCAACTAAAGATGAATGGTTCAAAATTATAGCAGAAGTTGAGGAAATGGAAAAAATGACACATGCACTTTGATTACAATTAGAGACCTTTGAAAAGAAATGGAGTAAATGCCTGGTTTTATCCTCAACGACAATATAATTATTTATAGTTAAACATTTACATATTTCTAAAGGTTATTTATCATTGTGAAAATATGTTTGGCAACCTTTTATTATATCTTATTTTATACTTATTTATTTTGATAAGGTTAATTTAATATTTTTATGCATGTATGTATATAGGTGTACATGTGTGGAAAGTATGTATTTGCCTATATAAGTATGCATACATATGTATATTTATGTATATATGTATTATTTTTTATTTGCTTGTTTTGTTCCCACTGGTTATATGTTCCTAAAAAATCTATAAAAACTAAGTAAAAAAGAAAAAAGAAAGAAAAAAAGAACTGTTTTGAAAAAAAAATCTTCTCTCCGTTAAACAGAAATTGGGGAAAAAAATAAACAGAGGGGCGAATAATTCTGACTTTAACTGTATGCAATCATGAATAGTAATGCACCATGTTTAGAACGTAATCATGTCTATAAGTAATCAGGTTACTTTTTTCAAGTAAAGTAATACGTAACGTTTTTATAGGATTTCCTATTTAATTATTATTATTAATTAGCTCTCCTTTGCCCATTTTGATAGAAATCTGGATTAAGTGCACATGTGTTTTGTACATTGTGTAAACATAATACTTATTGTAGTTCCAGCTAAAATGTGAACGTGCATTTACTCAGCTCACTTGCATAAAAATAGATGGTTTACTGGTTAAAAATTGTGCAAATATGGGTTGCTAAAAATGTTAAACGTTCTTTATGCAATCCAGGAAGGCAGCTTTGCTGAAAGATTTGTTTGAACAGCTCCTGAACTGCAGACGTGTATTTACATTTGCTTCAGCCCTAGGTTTATTTACTTATCATTTCACTTTCGCTCTAACAATACATTACACTAGTCAAAAATAGATGTTTATATTATTACAAACAAACATGCCCAGCTTAGTAGGAAAAAAAAAGGTTGAATTACTTTGCATTACATTTTAAAGTAGTAACGCAAAAAAAAAACTAATGTGCATTTGTAAAAACGATCCTTCATTTAAAAAAAAAGTGCAGACTGGGAACTCTTACCTCTGTTGGGACCACCCCAGGTAGGCGAATATCCAGTGAAAAATTGTACGGACTGGACATGACAAAAGGCTGTCTGGTCCTTGAGCAGTCATTGGGGTCTGTAAAGGAATTTTCCTGAAACCTACAGTATCAACAAAAACAGACTTTCAGAAAACATGCATTGCTAGGGTGCACATTTGACAATAAGGCACTAGTTTTGAGTAAGGTTTGAAATCAGATATATATTTTTTGAAACTAGTGTCAGTAGCAAAAAGTTCAAACAAAATATATTTTTATGTGAAGATATTCTAAGGGCACTTGTTCATTCATTCATTCATTTTCTTGTCGGCTTAGTCTCTTTATTAATCCGGGGTCGCCACAGCGGAATGAACAGCCAACTTATCCAGCACGTTTTTAACGCAGCGGATGCCCTTCCAGCAGCAACCCATCTCTGGGAAACATCCACACACTCATACACTACGGACAATTTAGCCAACCCAATTCACCTGTACCGCATGTCTTTGGACTGTGAACACAGAAACGCCAAATGAGCCGAGCCTCGACCCAGCAACCTTTTTGCAGTGAGACAACAGCACTACCTACTGCGCCACTGCTTCGCCCAAGGGCACGTGTTGACACTTGTAATTTAATTCTCTTGATTGTTTGTTTTTGGCACAAATTAAACATTTGGTCCTGGTTCACACTGTTCACTGAAATATATTTCTATATAAATAACAGAATTAACTGTAAGACAACTTCTTCCAAATAACCTAGCAATATTAGTGGACTTTGATGGTACAACTAAAGTATACCACACTAAATTATAAATTAGCAATAAACACCATTTCATTTTACATGTTAGAACAGATACAATATAACATTTCATTTAAAAATATATGGTTGCAAAGTTTTTTATTAGCCACCCTTTGTATTTTTATTTCTTTTTTAAATATTTCCCAAATTATGTTAAACAGTGCAAGGAAATTTTCACAGGATGTCTGATAATATTTTTTCTTCTGGAGAAAGTCTTATTTGTTTTATTTCGACTTAAATAAAAGCAGTTTTTAATTTTTTAAAAACCATTTTAGGGACAAAATTATAAGCCACTTTAAGCTATTTTTTTTCCCGATAGTCTACAGAACAAACCATTTGACCAAAGTTATACAGTTTAAAAGCAAAGCTAAAAAAATACCAAGGAAATGTAAAATATAAAAAAATTCTCAAAAAAATAAAAAAATCCTCTCATTATTGTGGCGTTTAGAAAATTTAAATCATTTAGGTAATCCTAACGGACCTAAAATTGTAAACGTTTAGTATGATTTACTATCAGACATTTAAAAAAAAATGGTTATGTTGTATGTAAACCTCTGGTTTCAACTGTATAAGATGGACTTCTGAATTTAAATGTTTGTTCCTTTCCTACATGTATCTGATCAATGCACGAATTAAACAACAGCTTGGGGGGCGTAACATTCCCACCAATTACGGTTTCCTTAAGGACACTAATTGACTCACCTCTTGAACCTGTACATGTGGTTTTGGATACTGTGACTATGGCACTGCAAAAAAAGTGCAAGCACGAGGATGCTGCAGCACAGGACGCCCATCTCTGATTGGACGGAATAGCGATCAATGATAAAACTGAAAGCAAGCTGATGCGATTTCCACGTCAATCCTGCCCCTCCTCCTCCATAAGCAATGACAATACTGCTGGTTCTCCAACTCCTCTGACTCTCTCTCTCTTCTGCTCGTCTCACTTGCTCAATCTCTTTAAAAATGTGTCATAAAAGTGTCAGTCGCCTCCACACCAAGTTCTGTCCGGATACAGTGTGACACCAGCAAGAGGGATGGAGAGGAGGAGGAGAAAGGCTCCTTGCTCCTCACGCCGGGCAGAGCATATCACGAATTTAGCATCAGGCTCCTGTCACGACCTGCGGAAACACAACAGAAGAGAAAAGATGAGCGTAAAATCCTCATTTTAATCATATAACACACAATTTTCCACTCAGAATCATTAGTGAGATCAATTCTCTTTACTCCGAACACCATTCATGAAAAATACATGTATGAAGAAGCGAGAGAGGGAGATGGGGGAGGGAACGGGTGGAGAGAGAAAACAGAGAGCACACAATAATCTAATCAAAGAGGATTCCCATAACAATACTGTCTGCTCGCTCCCAGGGAGACACAGGAAGTGAAGGGGCCTCGGCAGTGCGTCGTGACGGGGGTTGTCACTTCAGTGATGGCATTACACTGAAGGGCTGCATCCGAAAGATTTTAAAAATGTTGTCTACAGAAGACAAGGCAAGTCTGACTTCGAAGACTGCGTCACATCTTCTATCCACTTTATTTTGTAAAGGTCTTCTCTGCAAATGTGCTAAGACTTCTGATTTATTTGCCACTATACACTGTTAAAATTACCAGTGAGCAGTGCATGTCGGACAGTTTATCAAGGATGTACTGCTGGATCACGTCTCACTTTAGTTGTGAGTTTCAAGCCAGACCGGCCCCCTCAGTTCACGACTGATTCCAATTCAGTTTCTAATTTCACTATCACGTCTTTTTCAAGAAAACAGCTGCTTTAGAAATTCAAATGTTCAACAACCCTAACAGTATTATATGTCTTAACAATAAAAATGAAAAGAAAAAATTTATAATAATTTTTCAGGTGAGATTCGAACACGGGTCCGCGGCGTTGAAACGCAAAGTGCTTACCACAATGGCGCTACTACAGCTGCAATAAAAAATAAGTAATGACTTGTGACCTTTGAGACACAGCATTACTTTCTTTTGATGGCTCAATCTTTTTCTCCCCTTTTTAGATTTCTGATCAAGTTATGTCAGATTTATTAATGTAGTGAATCATTTGATTTTCATTGAGCAGGTGTATTATTCATTAATATTAATTATTCGAATTCTTATATTTACTAAGGTGCCGCTGTTTGGGGTCTATAGTTGCATTACATCTTCATCATTAACGTTAGTTAACCTGCAGGCTGCATTCTGCTCACGGGGCTGCGAGAAAATAAATAAAAAGAGCGGCGCTGCTGCAAAATAATGAATAAAAAGAGTAAAGCTATGGTCAAATAAATAAATAGATGAAAAAAGTGTGACTGCTGAGGGTGCAAGCTGCTATGGACACCGGCCCTCGCGGCCAAAAAACAGACCGGCCCACCGGGAATTCTCCCGGTCCTCCCGATTAGCCAATCCGGGCCTGGTTGTTAAACACGATATTCAGACATCCCAAGTCTGCTGGAAGTTCTGGGAGTCTCCCGCAAATGCATAGAGGCTCCCAGATGCCCGCAAACGAGTGATAATCTCCCGGAAATTTATATTTTGTTAAAGAAATTTTATAAATGTATTATGTCATCTTTGAGTTAAATTACAAAAAAACGAATTACCGCTCATATGAGATGTTTCTAATGCAGCGTCTATGGGGCTGACACCGTTATCAGAATTTTTTTCATTTTTCTGAAAGTCTTGGTAACACCATAGTGGAGTTCTTTTATTATTTCAGCAAATAGGATTACATATATATTTAACGCATTAAAAACAGCCATGAAAATCCAAGTACTCTAATCTACTAATGTAATTAATGAACAGTATAGACAGGATGTGTTAATAGAAGTGCGCAAGTCAAACTGGATTCACTTTATTGACATTATTCTGAAATCATAAATTTGGTTTAAAAAAAGAAAAGAGTCAAAATAAAAATTTTTCTTTGGTGCACCACGATATCCCCCACCCCCTCAATTCTCTACCTTTGATTACACTAGGAAAGTGTACAAAAAAAAAAAAGATTAAAATTCCATGTATTACCACAAACATTCATTCATTCATTTTCTTGTCGGCTTAGTCCCTTTACTGATCGGGGGTCACCACAGCGGAATGAACCGCTAACTTATCCAGCACGTTTTTACGTAGCGGATGCCTGTCCAGTCGCAACCCATCTCTTGGAAACATCCACACACACTCATTCACACTCATACAGTACAGACAATTTAGCCTACCCAATACACCTTTTCTGCATGTCTTTGGACTGTGGGGGAAACCGGAGCACCCGGAGGAAACCCACGCGAATGCAGGGAGAACATGCAAACTCCACACAGAAATGCCAACTAACCCAGCCAAGGCTCGAACCAGCGACCTTCTTGCTGTGAGGTGAAAGCACTACGTACTGCGCCAGTGCGTCGCCTAAACACAAATATTTCTACTTAAACTTTCTGGGATCCTTTAACCTTTACAGCCTACAATATCACAAGTTAACAGGGCTTTTCAACGTAAATCAGATTTTTTAAACTTCAAGATTCACCAATCAGACGATTCCTAAACCACTTTAAATACCCTAAGTTCCATATAACAGCCATCTTCGTTTTAAAGAATCCCCCTTCCACCCTTACTCACCTACTGAAAATCTCAGAAACTGGTCTGAAATCAGTTATGAGGTACAAATGCTGCCTGAAAAAGGTCTTTCTGCAGACTTTGTTGCCATTTCTGAACTGAGCTTTGCAAAAAAGTGGTGTGATTTGGAGATTATAGGAGTTAAAACATTTTTAAAAACTTGTGTTTGGTAAGTTTGATCTAGTGTTCAGTATAAAAATGTGTTAAAAAATGATCTCCATAAGTGAAGTTTATTTCTAAACTAATTTCGAGAGGATCCCGTGCTTATGTTTGCTTTCGGCTCGTACCGCATTACTCAATTCATGATTCACCAATCAGACGATCCCTAAACCACTTTAAATACCCTAAGTTCCATGTAACAGCCATCTTCGTTTTAAAGAATCCCCCTTCCAACCCTACTCCTCCTTCTTTCCTAGATGGGTGGCACGGTGGCCCAGTGTTAAGCACTGTTGCCTCACAGCAAAAATGTCACTGGTTCTAGTCCTTACCAAGCCAGCTGACGTTTCTGTGTGGAGTTTACACATTCTCCCAGTGCTCATGTGGGTTTTCCCCTGGGTTCCTCAGTTTCCTCCTACCGTCCAAAATCATGTAACTTAAGTTAATTGACTAATCCAAATGGGCACCATAGACATGATCCTAGTAAGATGTTATCTTTTAAGAGCAGTTACAATCGGTTCATTACTACAGCAGGGGGGGTTCTCGAGATCTACCTAAGCTAAAACACCCCTCTCACCTCACAAACAGGAGGGAGCCTCAGGCTCGAGGATCTTATGAGCTCAAAGCTCTCTCCCGGAACAGCATGCCAAACAAGCTTTATAAATCAATCATCAGCTAAGTGTGAACTCTTAAAACAGCATTTAGGGAATATTTAAAAAATGAATTACAATTTTACAGGGGGCTAATCATTATGAGAATTTAGGCCTACTGATAGGACATAGAGGCGACTAAGCCTTCAAAAACAGCCAATATCTCAACAGGTTTTTAGTCTGAACGACTACTAATCAAGAGCTATTTTCTGGGAGACATCATTGATCTGATCTGGATGTAACTGACCAGGGCTGAACCACTGGGAATTACGGCCGGTATCAGTGGAGTGCTTTTTCAATGTGCCATGTGTTTATCCTGAGAGCATCATCACACCAATATGTCTACGTTCAGTGTCAGCATGCAAGACATTTCAACGCAATCGATACGATGAAAAACAGATGCTGCCACGCTAATCGTGACTGATATCATATTGGTAAAGGCAGATGCCTTATGATGAGGAGGAGAGACGGATCCAGAAAAAGATAAATAAGCGGCAGAGAAAAAAAAAAAAACATAACCAGACTGGGAGGAACTGGAAGGCTTTCAGAAAAGGGCTTACACTCTTTCAGTGTAAGCTGAATTAATCACTGAAATAATCCTCTTGACACACACTGTTAGAAATTAACATATTGCCAAGGAGCCGTGTGATCTTTATGGGCCGTACGTTATCAAAAACACACACGGCTCAAAAGACACATCAAATTCAGTCTTCTTGAGACTTATTCTCACCACTAAATTGGCATAATTTGACAAATGGCACTATTTTCCAACAATAAACCTGGATTTCTGCTTAATACAAATGAATGTGTTGAATAGGAATTAATATGTGTAATATACAAATTAATTTATTCAAATGAATGTGATTTGATTATGCAAATCATACAGTATTTCACTGTATCTAACAGTGAAACCGTTTCTTTTTAACCTCCACAAAAATGTATACACTGCATATCTAAAAATTAGCAATAAATGTCAAAAGATAATGATGTCAAGTCTTATCAAGTCTTCTTAAACATAAGAGAATGCAATCGTGGCGCATGTATTTTGTATTCATACTTTCAATAATTTATACTTTGGAGGCTGACCTAGATTTGATGTAGTGTGTAGCTATGGTTGTGGTGTAGCCTTTTTTGTTGGCAAGCTAAATTAAGATTTCTCTCTTATTATCTTTCTTATGCCGAGTTCAGACTGCATGATTTTCAAAGTAGTCGTGTCACAGATGTTTTCACACTGCATGACTATCTGGGCTTGCGTTTCGTCGCTGCTTTGTTTACACTGCATGATGGATCGGCGACAGGGACATTCACACTGCATGACTTTACTATAGGAAGAATCGCCGACAACTTCGTCCAAACTACGTCTCACAGCCTAAAACGTGTCGTATATCTTTTGTTATTAACTACATAATGAGAAAGAAGCCTTTAATGGGGTGGAACATGTACATATTTGCTCACCTGGGTTTAAAGGGAATTAGCCATTTCTCCTCAACGTTGATAATAAACTAATTTCTTTCTGTATGAAACGTCAAACAGACACGGTTGCTCCTGAGTCCTGTCAAACCTCCACTAGTTTTTCCTCCATTTCGTGGGTCCAAATAAATCGAAAAAGAGCGCTGTTAACTTCTCCCCAGCCTTCCGCTGGCCTGCAGCAGGTATACACACACACACACACACAAGTGAATGCTGCTCTCTCATTGGCTGTAGGCGATCGCTGATGTTATTTTCAGTCAAAACTCAATTCACACGGCATGATTTGAATCGCCGACAGCTCCAGATATTTAGCACGCCAAATATCTCACAGGCATCGGCGACTCATCTGCGATTCTCTCAGATCGCGTCTTTGATAGTTCATACTGTGTGATTGTCACTCACGTGCACGAGCACCAATTTGCCTGTGCTTTCAGGCATTTGTCGGCGATTTCTCAAAACCTGTCGGCGAGCCAAAATCGGGGCTAAAATCACGCAGTCTGGCATTACTGAAGAGAAAGAGAGATCACAAGCCTCTAAAATTCTGAATAAACATTTATTTGACTAATATATCTTGAACATTCGTTTGCTAAACAAATTCAAACTCCATTAAAGATGTTTATGGACTATAGTATAGGTTGTTTATATGATTATGCAAAAGAAAATACTTTTAAAAGCTTACCGTTCTCCACTCAAAAATTGTACTGAAAAAATGTAGGCCTTGTATTTTATTTGCTAATGTAAGCTATTTTTAAAAAGAAATGTAATGTATAAAACTCTTTACGTCTGATAAACTGTTTATATTAATGGACAATGCACAGATATTGATGTTTTACACTACATTATTTGAATCTAAGAAGCTTAGTTAACAATGTTTATATTGCTCTACTTACATTAAATCTAAATGACAACAGATTGTTAACAGATTTAATTAATGTCAGCTTTTCCCCTGGTTTTACACAGCGGAATGAACCGCCATTTACTTGACAGATTTTTGTTATTTTTATTTTAGGTGGTTTGTGTAATGTGTTTTATGTTTAGTAAAATAATTTCAAATGGCATCTTTAAAGATTTTTCAACTAATTATGCTGTCTTGTCCGAACAGGTGGATTCAGAGGTTTTTGCAAAAAAAAAAGCAGATGTGGATTTAGCTGTTTTTAAAATTTACCTTTTAAAAAAACAGAGAATTGTCCAAAGTGACATTTTTGAAAACAGTGTTATTTTATTTACCAGCTACCAACCTTTTCATTATCTATAAAATTAAACTTCTGAACCTAATTATAGAAGCCGGATAGAAAATGCTCATTTACAAGAAAAGAGCTCTGATGGATTTAGAAGGTTTTGCATCTGAACTCTTCATTTGTATTTGTATATAAACAATTGTTACACTGAATTACATTTTAGTGAGTATCGGTAAATGATAATAAAAATGCATAAGAGTCATTCTTTAGTAAAAAATAAATACATCTAAATAAACTGGCTGTCCACTAGGCATGGGACGATTCCTAAACAGTTTTCAAGGTATACCACGATTTGGAAAATTCAAGGTTGTAAAACCGCCAACATTTTCTGTAGAAACAGTTTCTAAGGTATGTGTACGATTTTTTTATTTACATTTTTTTTGTTTGTTTTTTTTAGGACAACAGTATCTCCAGCAGAAAAAATATCCAAAGATGCCGTTTTAAATTGTAAAGAAATCTGTGTTTTTGAAACTAATGAAGACAGCAGACGTCAATTATTCATTTGAATTATTTAGCCTGACGTGTTTACTATTTTATAAATATTAATAAAGTCTTAGAAGCCTTTCAAAAAACTAAATATTTTGTGTTCAAGGGGGAAAAAAGTTTTTGTTTTTAACCCAGACATTTAAAAAATATATATTTTAACAGTAATCACAATACCGTGAAACCATGATATTTTTATCCAAGGTTATCATACGGCCAGAATCTTACACCAGCCCATACCTAATGTCCACATGCTAACGTAAAGAAAAATATAAACCATAATACACTTTAAATAATGCTTGAAACCCCCTTTTCATGTTTGACCCGGGACCCTGTATTGTTGATGTTTGATGTGAGGAAGGTCAGCATAAAACGCAACAGCAATTCAGTCGCCGTAAACTGCCTCCATCTCCCATTATCAAAACAAACAGTGAAAGAGAAAGCGCATGATCTATTGAGCCCATCATTAGCAGCGTATGAATCATCTCCACACGCGCAACTCTGCACGTCATCCATACCTGTTACGAAATGTAAAACTTACAGCCTGCAATCTTGAAAAATCCCATGATGCTTTCTGTTTAACTATAACCTTTGCTCCAAACACCAATAATGTTTTATTGACGTAGGTGTATCATGGATGATAGGACACGAGCACTTCTCTGAGACAACAAACAGACGTTTCTAACGATCCGTGCACTTTCTATTGATCATCGTCCTCCAAATATCAATCTGCCTCATGACAGAATCCCCCAATAAACATTCACTGACGCAATAAATCCACTTAAACAATCACAATACAGAGAGCCGCTCTTGCCCCGAAGCTTTCACTGCATTAAAGCAGGACACAATGGAGAAAAGATGCAAATCCATGCCTACCTCGCTCGCTCGTCACATTGAGATCTGAAGCAAAAATAGAGAGAACTCGAGAGAAGAAGGAATGAACTGCTGCTCCAGTGCAGCCTGACTGACTCATTGAGCGAGCGAGCGGCAGAGAGAGAGAGAGAAAGAGAGACAGCCCAGCATGCTGGCTGACATCATCATCACACCCAAGACCTGAGGAGAATGTAACCATGGCAACCACCGCACACCCACTGGCATTCACCATCAGTACCTTCCCATGAGCCTCTCTTTCCACATTGATCCGTCAGTGACTCTAATGCGCAGCAATACACCATGAACACTACGCCCACGCAAGTCAGTGTGTGAAGCGCATCGCTGTATGAAACGACTGACTCGGTTAAAAGAGCCAAAAATAATGTGCGTTTACGGCTGGATATTTAAATGCATGCAGCTGCTGATGTAGAGATCGAGTCTAATTGCAACACGAGGCTTCGCAGGATGGCAAGCGCTTATGACGCAATATTTGTTTCCATGGTAACAGCAGCTTCTCATGTGGAGCTCCTTTCACAGTTTGTGGGTAATGTTGTTTTTTAGTTACTGTCCTATCAATATCAGCTAAAATCCCAAATCTTCAACATTTATGGCACAGTTTCTTAGTCCGAAACAAAGAGCTTTTAATAATAAAATTGTGAGAAAATATAGAGGAATTACCAACCTACGTCACACATGACGTCACGTGGGTTCCCGAATGCAAAAAAAGATTGGTTGCAATAGCAAACATGTGGTGTTGTGCGGTAGGATGCCAAATTCGAAAACTTAGCTTTTAGCCTTTTACCGTACACCACACTGCTTTTAATGCCAACCGCAGACGTCTTTGGCTAAAAGGGAGCTGAATGGAGTGAGGGCCTAATTAAAAATGCTCGACTCTGCAGTTCTCATTTCATATCAGGCAGGGCCGGAGTGGGACTCCTTTTCAGCCGTGGAGTTTCAAGCCTCAGACCGGCCCACCTCAGTTCACGACTGACTATATTAAAATAAGGTCATTTCCAATTCAGTTTCTAATGACACTATCACGTCTTTTTTGAGAAAACAGCTGCTTTAGAACTTCAAATGTTCAACAACCCTAACAGTATTGTATGTCTTAACAATAAAAATAAAAATAAAAAATTGCTCAGACGAGGATCAAACCCGGGTCGGCGGCATTGTAAACTAATGTGCTAACCACTGGACCACAACAGTTGTACGTTGAATGGTGACTCATCCGAGTTATATCATCATTAACCTGCAGGCAGCATCATGTTCACGAGGCTACGAGAAAATAGATAAAAAGAGCAGAGCTACGGTAAAACAATGAATAAGAAGACTGGTCAAGTAAATAAATTAATTAATTTAAAAAGTGTAACTGCTAAGAGCTACAGATTCTGGAGCTAGGGACACCGGCCCTCGCGGCCAAAAAACTGACCGGCTCACCGGGAATTCTCCCGGTCCTCCCGATTAGCCAATCCGGGCCTGATATCAGGTAAGTTCACGCTATGCTGAATCATACAATCATATTTGATTGCAGCAATGATTTTTCTTATACTTTTCTTTTTTTATTCCTGTTTATGCAAAGCACTTTGAATTGCCACTGTGTATGAAATTTGCTATAGAAATAAACGTGCTTTGCCTTGCCTTGATTTGTCTTAAATATTTAGTTTTTATGAGTTAGATATAGAAATATATATGTCTTAACTTTATCGTAGCATGTTGTTTCAGTGTCGATGAAAAACTTTTGAAATCTTTCTCTCTCTCTCTCTCTCCTTAAGTTCCCTATGTACACAGAGCTACATAGGGACACATTGGTTTGTTTTCCAAATGACTCCCAATGTCACAGTACACACGCTAAAGTTTGGAGTTAAACATACAAAGAGGCTATATTTGCTTCAAGAATCATAAAAGCTACAAGCAGTGACAAGTTTTAGGGAAGTTTTGCCACATTATAATGGCAGTTACTCAAGCCTGTTTCTGCACGCACACCAATAGTATATTTTAAGACTGTTGATCAAACACACCCGACTTAAATCATTTGCTGAAACTCCATGCCCTGAAATAAAGGTGTAGGAATGCTGCATCCCATGTGAGAGGCCAACCTGTTTGGTCATTAATAGGCCTGTCATAATAATCAATATATCGACTTAAACGTATGGACAATAATTTTTCATGATACAATATATCACCCATACATAAAAACCAATGTCAGCAACATATTAGCTGATAGCACAGCCTCTGTCATCTCATCCTGTCTCTACTGAAGGCGTAAGAGTCAGCATGGATGAAAATAGGGCTGGGCGATTTTTCCGATTTTTTCGATTAACTCGAATTTACGTTTTGATGACGATTTAATTTTATATTAAATCGAGAATCGCGATTTTTTTAAAATATACATTTAATACATTATAATGGCACCAATGCGCCTTGGTTCACTCTCTGAATGAAGCAGGAAGCACACCAGAAGCGCCTCTCGGCGACGCGACGCGCAGCACCACGCAGCGCCATGGATTTTAGAATTCTAAACAGGTTTCTATACACATACCGGCACAGCCCAGCCACGATTCAGGACGTAGTTCATTAATGATCGCATCAAACGATCGGTATTTAAAAGGGGGAAAAGAAAAATAGATTAAATATATTATTTTATATTAGACACACATCTGGTGCTTGTATTTGCTCCTGCTATACGTCCACAATAGCCCGCATTGGGTTAAATGAGGCTTTACAGTTTCCATATTCAGTCCTTTACTTTCATTGTATCTTTTTAAGAAAAAGGCAGCAGCATTACAACCTGTCATTCAATCAGAAGACAAAGTCAAAGCCGAGCTGACAGCCAATCTTTCCTAGGCTCAGCAAAACTTGCAAAAAATACCTCTGTATTCCTGCAACTGCAATACTTACACAAATATTTCTTATTCAAGTCTTCTGCAACGATATTCAACTCGTGAATTTGTTTTACATTTATTTACACCTTGACCGATTTTTGTATGACATGGCCATTAAAAATACAATGTTCCTTAACCAGATGGTTTTTCAAGTTACTTATAAAGAGAATGTTACTTCAGTCATGTTGTTGTAATGTTTTGAGAAGACTAGTAACACAATAAAAAAAAAAAAAATCAAAATCAAAATCGTGAATCGGTCAAACTTTATAAAAAACTTTTCTGACACAAATAGCCTACTCTAACATCCAGTAAGCAGATCTAATTTCTAATTTAAATATGTAAATCCAGTTCATAAATCTAAAATACAAGTTAATGTTTAGATTTCAAAGATATATAAATAAGTCATAGATACATGTATCATACATTTCAAAATTTATCAAAAAGAGTTATATGAATATAGTGACATATAGCTAGGGATGGCTGACGTGAAACTGACGTTTCGACACAGTGTCGAGATCCCGAAGCGCAAGTGTTTCGAAACACTGTACCGAAGCATGAACCGAAACACCCAGGTCACGTGACTAAAGTGTTTTGAAACACTTGGTCACGTGACAAAAGCGATTCAAAGCATCGATCATTTCAGAGGCGTTTCAAGACCCGGAGAATCTGCATTTCACTGGCATGATCTTTGTTAAGTCTTCGACTTGTATGGTCTAGTGGACCGTGCGTGTGCACTTTGGAACTGTATTTCGAATTTATTTTGGGTTCGAATCTCGACTATTACAAATACTCCAAAATCATGATTTTATGTATTTTAATCATGTTACTGTTTTATGGTGTAGCCTAGATAGGATACAGCTGCGGATACACCATCAATTTAGCATCATTTTTGTAACACTGTAAAACAATAATTCATATTTTTACAGTACTGTGATGGGTTTAGGTTTTGGATAGACGTTAATAAAATACAATAGGAAATTTAATTAATAATATAAATAATTATTGTTAACTTCTGGCCACAACTGTATCTGATCTAGTAACAACCCTGTTATATGAACAAAATACAAATTTATTTACAAATGTTTATTCGTATGTCAGAGCAATGTTGAAACAAAACGATACCATAACAAAGCATTACCAACTGGTATTAAAGCATTTCAACACACTTCTGACAGTCTGGATTCGAACCCATTTTTCCCGCATGGTAGTCATGTACTCTAACCGCTCGACTAAACCATCTGATGATTCAAGGCTACAAAGTGGGGTTTAATACATCAATTTGCTCAACTGTTCTTTGCTGAAGCTGTTTCAGTGAAATACAAATAAAATGACCACTAGGTGTCACCGTAGAGTGGTGTTTCGAAACGTTTCGAAGCTTCGACACATTTGCTTCGATAGTTTCAGTGTTTCACGAAGCCTCGCTTTGCCCACCACTACATATAGCTAGGCCCACACAGAATCTGCGCGCACAAAATTACGCAGATTTTTAGTCCATCATTGATTCTGTTTAATTACTTTTGTAAATGTGTGTAAACTTATACTCATTCATTTTTTTATTAATTACAGTAGTATTATTGACTATTATGAAAATATTCATATGATATATGAACAATACAGTTTGTAAAGTAATATTTTCTGTCTTTTAGTAGATATATTATAAAAGAGACTTGCTTGGTTTACCAAATAAAGTGGATCGGATTTGCATTGTAAACATTAAATAAAAGTTAAAAATGTATTACTTTTTATTTCATTTAGTTATGACATTTCCAAAATAATTCTGTATAAATCCGCAGATTTTTAGCACAATTCTGCGCAGAAATAGCAAAAAATGCCTATATTTATGAGGTCCAAGCAACATTACTAGGTTTTGATGAATAGGCAACTTTATGATAACGCTTTACATTTAAGCACAGCAGTTTTCTTTTTACTTTTTAAGAACAGTGCAATTTTCAATTACCTTTTAAAAGCACATTTTAATTTAAACGTTGACATTTTATTTATTTTTTTACCTGTAAGCACAGTGCAGTGTTAATGTTCAAACTATTTATAATGTTTAAAGTGGCTGACAATAATAAAATACTCATAATAATAAGAATTAATCTGCCACGTTTTTGAACTGTAGCTCATTAATTAGACCTGTTACGCTCCTGTATTTCATTATTGGTCATTATGGTGGTACTTGGAGAAAAAAGTTTGAGAAACAGTCCTATACAGTATTCTAATAAATCAGAAAGAAAGAAATGT